TCTCTTAGAAACTGTAGATTTCATCAATCAGATGCAACAAGATATTTATCAACCCAACGAGGAGCTGCCTCTGTGCAAAGGAAGCCAGAATGCTGTCACTGTTCAGGATGAAACGGACTGGATGTGAGAAGTAAGCAACCAAAACATGAAGAAATCATAAAAAGAAAAAAAACTTTTAAATAAGTCCACCTAAAAAGAGGAAACAGTCTTGCTGCTTGAATGTGAAGATTTCAGGGCAGTGGTGATGATTTTAAACCTGGTCCTCTCTGTGCATCATGAGTTGGGACAGATGGCTGCAGTGGAAGGGTTTAAGCTGCAGCACTTCATGAATACCTGTAGTCTCATGCTGCTGACTCATAAAACCTCCTTTGTTTTATTTTCTACCCATTTTAAAGCTGAAAAGCAGACCTTCCTGATTACTTGACGCCAAACTTGAAGCAGCTTTTTGTCTCCAGTCGTGTTCTTTGATAATCCTTGATGATAGCCACTGGCAGAGCTTCATCTCCATCTGAGCCTCAAACCGGGCCTGGGGCCAGCTCTCCGAAGATCAGCACAGAAGCAATCTGATAAGTGAAGCTTATTAAAGACTCTCTGCTTCTCTTTCTTTTCCTGTCCATCCATCAAGCTCAATAAAAAGGCCTAATGAGGATGTTTGATAAGCATCACACCAACTAGCAATAAATATGCTTTAATGTTATTTTATATAGAATCTTTTGACTCTAATAGTTTAAGGAAGCTAAAAGAACAGGAAACCAGAGCAATAAAGATATTTGAGGTTGTTTGTTTTTTGAGCAAAAACAAACCTGAAGCTCAGAGTTTGACAGATTTAATCTGCTTGCATTGTTAGCAGAGTAACAGGGCTCTGAGTTGGATATTATTTTGGGTTCACGCTGATGTCCTTGTCCCTTAGAGGTCTGAAGTTTCATTATTTTCAATAAACAGAGATGGGAAGTAACGAAGTACAAATACTTCGTTACTGTACTCAAGTAGATTTTTCTGATATTTTTACTTTACTTTACTACTTATTTTTATGGCGACATTTTACTTCTACACCTTACATTTTTACACAAATATCTGTACTTTTTCTCCTTACATTTTAAAAAATTGGCTCGTTACTTTAGTTTTGAATCATTTCAATGGAGTTACCGTTATTATTTTTCACGTCATCAATACCAAATTCAATCTAATTGGATGGGAATCTACGTTGCATTTGACGCACCACTACAAGATGAATCGACAGATTCAGCGGTATTCATTCGCGGCAAATCATTGCAGCTTGGTGCCGGTGGCGTTAGCATAGTAGCATGGACGACGAGATGATTGAAAATGAACACAACGGAGATCTAGATGTCTGCCAATAGACCTATTGGCAGACATCCATTTAAAATGTAGGCAACGGCATGAAAAAAGTGGTTTCTACTTTTACTTTTATACTTTAAGTAAATTTACAAGCCTGTACTTTGTTACTTTTACTTGAGTAAAGAAGTTTAATCAGTACTTCCACTTTTACAAGAGTATTTTTAACACAAGTATCTGTAATTTTACTCAAGTGAGTACTTTTGCCATCTCTGTCAATAAATAGAATAAAGATCTGTTCAATAGATGGGACCTTTCTGGACCAAAGAGGGAATGTGTTCCTTGTTTCACTCAGTGCTGCACCAACCAAGGTTGATTTCAGATCTCTGTGACTCTTCTACTTCTATCCCGGCCCCATCTGATAGAACATTCTACTTCTATCCCTCAAGAACTTAATTGGTCCTTTTTTGGTCTAGTGGTCAGGATTCAGCACTCTCACACCCGTGGCCTCAGCTTGATTCCCGGTCAGGGAAGCTACCTTTTTAGGAGGTCTAGTGGTTAAGGCATTGCAAGACCCTTAACCCCACACTGCTTCCCAGGCGCTGCACAATGGCAGCCCACTGCTCCCAAAGGAGATGTGTTAAATGCAGAGAGTTCATTTCGTTGCTCTGTACTTGTGACAGGGGGGAAAAAAGATGAAACTAGGTTTGAAAGTTTCTTTGTCAGTTAGAGGTCCCATCACCTTGAAACCTTCACACATAACCAGCCCTCCCCACCCCTAACATGCGTACGCTGAAACAAACATGTCAACCATAATGAATTTTACACTCAGTGCTTGTTGGTCGTCCACCAGCGGTCAATGGTAGCCAATGGTACCTCTTCTGCTTTTCATTCTACATCCAACCTCTTCCCTCCTTCTTTATCTCCATGCGATCATATTTGGTCTCTCTGCTGATGATGATGATGACATCCCAGAAGCAATATAAGGGAAAGAATAGAAATTCATCTATTCTCTTTGCAAAGTCTTTATTGATATTTTATGTAATCTAGTTTTGCATGCTTTAATCATTGGGGATATTATTCAACATTTTTCTACCTTATTCAAAAGTGAGCTGTATGTATGTCTGGTTGATCACATCCAAAAAAGATGATGGTACAGATGTCCTACAAGAACGGATCGGATAGTGACGGCCCCCACATTAAATGACTTGATGCTAAAAGCTTCCTGCTTCCTATTCCTGCCTCCTTCTTTTTATTACAGCCAGATCTGTTCAGACAGCTCTGATCATGAAGGCAAACTGACACTTTTGCTAAAGTTTTCTTACTGATAGGATGAAGCCCATGTCTATCAACAGTGAGGTACAAATGCCTGACGTTAGCTTTTGGATTGGCGCAGTGGTTCCCAAGTAGGGGGGTGCACCCCCTAGGGTGGGGGTAGTGTAATTGCAGGGGAGGCTGGAAGAAATAATTGAATAAACAACCCAATTTGAGAGTTAGTTTTTAATGTATTGATAGTGATTATGAATTCTATTGAAGTAAAATAAAAAGTTAAGCTTGACTGTTTAAGTTAGCTGATGTGTTATTGATTTTTTTATTGAATTCCTACGATAAGTTACAGCATCTTATTAACCAATAATCATGATAAACCAATAAATCCTGCTCCAGGATGTCTGATTTAATCGAGTCTGTCTTCATCCTACTGCATCCATAGTTTTTCTGCTTGGTTTAGTGTTGAAACATGAGTTTCAGGAAGGCGTTCCCCCACCGATCCGATGACAGATGACCCCCCACCCCCCTCGTCCTCATTCTCTCCATACACATTGCATAAAGGCTGTGGCCTCTTTCTTTGTCACTGAAGCAAAACTGAGCTCAGTACCGATATGTTAAGGTTTTATTTTTCTCCAGTTTTTTGTTTAAAACAGGTGATTTTTTGTTTTTTTCTGACACATGAATGCTACGACATAAAGCTCTCAGGTTTTCCAACCATACTCCCTAACAGTATTCTTCGCTTCTTCTGAGTAGATTAAAGTTCACAGGCTGCTGCCAGTGGGAAACTTATTGTCCAACCTCCTTGACCAGAACTCAGAGAGGAATCTGCTAAGTCTGACCCTTTTACCTTCACATGTCACAGGCCACCACTCTAATTACAGGAGAAACCTGTGATCTTAAGGATTCCTAAAGTATCGAACGAACTAAACTGATCCGACAGTTGGGGGGATTATTTAAGTCATGAGATAGAGTGGAAACATTTGAAGGTTGAGGACCAGAGCTATGGGACTTAGATCTTTTCATTCTACCTGTTGAGTGGAATATTTGTTCAGCATTAAGAGCCGGGCCTCTATATGTTCAAACTAATAAACCTGTAGGACGTTTTATAACTGTTCTCTAAAGCCACAAACTCGTTTCTGGCATATTTCCGCCTGAATGTTTGACTTGTTCCTGGCAGAGATGTTGGAGTTCTGTTAGACTGGGTGGTTCCCTGGCAAGCATAAATTATGAGGTTTGAAAAGAGTAAATTTTAAGAATAAGGGAAAGGAGTCCAAAAAGGTGATCTACAATTTGTACATTTAAAATAAAACTAACTCACTTATTACGTTTCATGTGGATGATATCAAATTTTCTTATTATAAAGCCTAAAATACTCATTCCACTGGCTGACCATCCTTTTTACCTGCTCAAATTAAAAGCAAAGATATTTTCATTTATTTCCAGATCAGTTTTTGTCATTTGCACAAAAAAAAGTTATATATATATTTCAGAGGATACCAACCCTCCCAGAAAATCTGTTGGACCAACAGGATAAACTAAAACTCAAGCTGAAGTGTCTTTTAAGAAGGAAAAAGGTTCTTACTGTCTGACAAATTTAATGATATTAACGATAATAATAATAATAATCATTGGCAGAGTTAGAATGACGTGTGTTCCCTAGAATAATTTGCTTATTTTTAGGTTAAAAAAAAAGAGCAAGCAATCCTGGTGACAAGATGTCCCACAAAAAACAGAATTGGATTCTTTGAACAGATAAACGCAGCAAATTAGCAGCTTGAATTGACGGCTGACATCTCTGATGAAAATGTTTGTTCCTTTGCTGTGATTTAAAACTTCTACAGCTGTTAACATGATCATGTTTAAGTTTGGCGCATTAACCAGCCAGAAGCAAAGGATTGGATTTCCTGTTTGCAGCTCACTAATTAACGATCAAGCAAAGGTGCTGCTGCTGGGCTCCAACATCCAGCTGATTCCTTGCTGGATCTGAGCAACATTTACTGAGTGATGCTGAGTTTATGACTGCGTCCCGAAGAAAGAGTGGCGTTGGTCATTTTGCTCATTCAGGGAGAGGAATAAAAGTTTAATCTAACAGCTTTAATGCCCTCACCGTAACAGAACGACTTGGTGAGATTGCTTTAAAGCTATTTGTTGCAACAGTTTACCAAAAATTTGCTGCAAATCAGTTATATAGAAAAAGTTAATCTTGATTCTTAAAAAAAAAAAAAAAAAAACAGAAGATTGTAGAACTACTCAAGCTGGAGTTAAGATCATTTCCAGGAAGTCTTGGTATTAACTTATCATGTTTCCCTCCTGAAATTAAAAAGCTCCATTTATCTTTGAGCTCACCGGGGATTTCAGTTTAGCCGCCTCACTGACTCGGAATTAGAACAAAGTATTGTGGCAGATTTGAATCAAGGCCCTTTATCCCTCTGCAGGTGGAAACAAACTCAAAGCGCAGCCGTTTCGTCTTAACTGGGCCTGGATCTCTCTGGAGCGGGAATACTACCTGGTGGATGAAGATGCCAAATTCCTGGAGGTGACGCTGAAACGTAGAGGCTATCTGGGAGAAACCTCTTTCATCAGTAAGTGATGACGCCTGCTGAATAGTTGGTGATAATAGTTTTATTTGTCCATTGGAAAAATAGTTTCATCTTTTTAGCTCCAGTGCCATTTTACAGCAATCGTCAAATTCTTATTCGGAAGTATAGAAGTACATCCGATTAATCCAATAATTTCAATTGATTCATTTTTAACATTATATCCTTTGTTATATCAATCACTAAAGGAGGTCACCATTTTTTCCACTGTGAAATGCATGCTGGGTAGATGACATGGTTAGAAATGGAACCTACAGAGTAAACCCAAGAAGGCTAACATCAGCATAGTTTTTTTTTTTATCATAACATGTTTGACTAGCGTAAATTTTAAAACAGGAAAACACAGATTATGCTTAAAGTCTTTCTCCCGCATCGACAAATATGACTTTTAAACTATACAAAAACACATCGAAGTGAGGAGCACCAACTGATGTGGTTGGATGTTTCCTGTTGGAGGCCATTTTGATGACTGCATCGTCCATGTTGAAGAGCTCTGGGGGGCAAACCCAACAAGAATCTGGTTTAAGGAAAACAAAACTCTCCAGCTCCTATATCTCTGTTGGAATTATTTTTGTTTTATTCATATATAGGAATCGAAAACCCACATCTTACGGCTCATTGGGTTCCTCTCTTTTTCAGGCATCGGAACAAAGGACGGATCCGCTGAGAAGGACAAGGACTTCCGTGGCAAAGCCCAGAAGCAGGTCCAGTTTAACCCGGGCCAGACGACAGCAACCTGGAAGGTGAAGATCTTCACTGACCAGGAGTTTGAGACCTCAGAGACTTTTGAGATTCAGCTGTCAGACCCCGTCATAGCGGTTCTGGAGTACCCCGATACAGCAACAGTGGAGATAGTAGATCCTGGAGATGGTAGGAATCTGATGCAGAGAATTGTATGACTTTCCCGTTTCCTTTAATGCATACCCTGATCGATGTTCTTTCCTAATAGAATCAAAGGTGTTCATTCCACATGCAGAGTTCAGGATAGAGGAGGATGTTGGGGAGCTATTGGTACCAGTCAGGCGCTCAGGAGATGCCAGCCAGGAACTTATGGTGGTTTGTTTCACTCAACAAGGTGAGATAAACCTGTTTGGAAAAGTGCTTCCAATCATCTAATGCTGGAAGTTCTCCCACAGGAATAAAGTTTCTGTTCCTCCACAGGTAACGCTACCGGAACCATACCCACCACCGTCCTCTCCTACTCTGACTACATCACCCGCCCCGAGGACCACACCAGCGTGCTACGCTTCGACAAGGATGAGAGGGAAAAGATCTGCCGCATCATCATCATCGATGACTCCCTCTACGAGGAAGAGGAGAGCTTCAACGTCAGCCTCAGTATGCCGATGGGTGGTCAGCTGGGCGCAAATTTCCCTTCCGCCAAAGTCACAATTCTGGCCGACAGCGACGATGGTGAGTAGACAATCATTTTTCCCTCTGTTACGTTTTAAGACTTTTTTAGTTCCCATAAAATAACAAAATCCAATCTCCTAAAAGCACAACTTGAAGGAGACATGAGCCATAACTCCTCCCACATATGATATTTTAAAATGCTGCTACTGCAAGATGGTGAAGGTGGTGTCTAGAGGACCAGTGAATGTGCAGGGAGGAGGCTGAGAGTGGCAACACAAACAGAGGATTCCAGATATGATGGTTTGCAATGGAACTGTCGGCTCTCTTTCTGCTGTCTTAACCAGAGACAGAGGAAACAGAAGCAACGAGAGGATGGTTCTGTGGAGGAGACAAGCAGCCCAGAGCAGTGGTGTCAAAAGTAGACAATTTTGTTACTAAAGTAGAAGTATAGAAACTGCAGTTTAAAAACGCTCTGGTAAAAGTTGAAGTATCAACTTGACCTTTTAACTCAAGTGAAAGTGAAAAAGTATGTGCTCCAAAAACTACTAAAAGTATAAAAGTATAAAGTAACCTTAAAAAAAACAGCCAGATGCCACTATATGAATTGAAAGCGTAATTTTTTAATTCTTTGAGATGGGGCTAAGTTGGTCTCTTGTTGGTCTCGGTCTCTCGATACGCTCTCGCCTGTGTCCGACCTTTCATACATTTCAACATCTTTTTTTGAATCCTACATTGTAGCATGGCATAGACAATTCACGTTAGCAGTTTGAAGAACACCTGCTTGTTTCTGATGATTTCCTTTAACTAACCAATGAGTGTTTGCGTTCTATGACTCATCCAATTACACTAGTTTTCACTAGATGTGGATGGAGCCAATGATCTGCATTGGATGGAGCACATGATGTGAAATAAACATTTATAAACATTAGACCGAAGCCAAGAGTAACAACTAACGTTTGTTTAAAAAAAGTTAAGGAATAAAAAGTACAGATACTTGTGTGTAAATGTAATCAGTAAAAGTCAGAAGTAGGAAGAAAAATAAGTAATGGAGTAAAGTATAGATACCTAAAAAGTGTACTTAAGTACAGTAACTGTACTTCATTACTTGACACCTCTGGCCCAAGAGCAATACGAGTTTGAGCCGTTGGCTCAGAGGTTCTATGTGGTTCTGCTCCATCCTTCCTCATATTTGCTTCTCATGGGGACCGTCACTAAAGATATGAACCAAACACTCTGAAATACCTAAATTAATAACCATCAAGTCTGGGGACCTACTGACACAAAACAAATGTGAAAGTGTTCTTTTTTTTTTTTTTTTGCCTAGAATGATAAAGACAATCTTTTTGTCCAACTTTTATGCATTTAGGGATGATCCAGTATCTTTTTATTTTATTTTTTTATTTCTATTTTCTTTCTTCAATATTTTTTTTTCCAATAGCTCTCTGGTCATGTCTACACATTTGAACATACTAGAAAAATGATGAAAACTGATTTTCATCCCATTTTAATGCATTTACTATTTTCATTTACCTTTAAAATGGAGATAATCATGATTTATTTTCATTTCTCATCATAAACAAACTTGTTTAATTTATCATCAGTCCCTAAGCTAACCTGAACTATCCAGAGAACTGCTGACATCAATTCTTCCAAATGACATCACATACCAGGCTAAGCCAATAGCAAAGATCAGATGCAGTAACACATATTCAACCTGAGGGGGGCACCAAACAGATTGGATTTCAACAAATATGCAGAAAATTGTCATTTGAAGTAGGGCTAAGCTAATACACATTTCATATGGTTTGTGTGTAAATAGAAGCAGAAGTTATACATCGTAAGAATGTTTGTATTTACACACAAATAAACTATTTCGATTGTATACAAGTAGTGAAATAATATGAAAATAATATGACATTATATGAAACCTTTTTTGGCTTATGTGTACAAAGTAAATGCATCAAGCTGCTATTAGCTGGTAAATTAGCTAACTGATCAGGTCGCTAGCCTGCAATTAGCTGCTTTACAGACACAGCTAACCCATAGATTATTTTTGATAGTATTTTCTTACCAAGAGGAATTTAAATGCTGTCGATATCTTCCTGATGTAAAATAATCTTCCTCTAAAAAAAAAGATTTTCAGAAGAACCATTTTTTTCTTCTGTTTATTTATGAAATGCTTAAATTCTGACCCATTGATAATAGAAGCAGAAAAACATTTTAAAAAATTATGAATCTGTTCTGTGCTCACACACACAACTAAGGAGAAAATTGATTCATCTTTCTTCTTCCTGCTCTTTTTTTCATAAATATGAAAAAAGGCCTAATTGTGCCAATTTTCTTTGCCTGCAAATCTAAAAGAAAGATGTTCCTACCAGAACAGTTAACTAAAGGCCTTCAAAAGACCACTGAGGAATCTCTCATTAGTTCATTTTTGAAGTGATTAATTTTTGACTTACTCCAATCATTTCAACTGATTCATTGCACTGGTTATGCTGTCAGGGTCTCGTATGAGAGGAAATAATGAATAATTGTAAGGAAAGAGCAAATTAAACCTTTATTCTTCAATAAAAATAGCAAAAAATGATTCTACAGCTGCTTAAAAGAAAAGTATGAAGAAAATCAAGATCGAGACGGTTCAAAATATTGTAAAAATCAAATTTTTATTTTCCGCCTTGACTAAACTGCAGTTAAAACAGCAAAATAACAAATTTGTGTTTGTTGCACAGTCTAGCACAGTTTAGTAACAGGAATGCAGCCATGTGCTGCGGCTGAGCGGCTGCAGGAATTCAGTCCTTTGAGGCGTCATGTTTCCTTTCTGAGATCTGAGAGCTGCTGACAGCACCGTAAGCCTGGCATGTGGCTTTGCAGCCTTCAGGTCTGTGATACCTGTGGCTTAGATGAGCCGAGCTCTTCCGTGCTGGTCTGCCTGAGACATTACGGCTATGTTATGATGAACAACCTCCATCTCATCAGGTAAAGGTAACAGGGATAGAGGAAATCCTTTTGCTCCCAAAGCCTAACGACAGGTGGTGGAGTAAGAGGGACCATTGTCCATATGACAGACATGTTTTCCTTCTGTCCCATCTGCTCTTTGCAGCTCAATGCCTGTGTCGGCTGTTTTCTGATTTGCTACATTCTCTCCCTCTCTATGTCCTTCCCAGAGCTCAGTTTAACTAATTTACTACATCCACGTATAATTAAAGTTCTGTTCAAGGACACGTGGGAAAACAAGGGAGGACACCTCAGTCTGAGCCTCTTTTGTGGTTCCACTTCTTGGTGGGTCCTGGAATAACGCCGTAAATCTGCTGCAGTGCCTGCATGTGTTTGGATGCGTCTGTCCGCCTGAGTAAACTTCAAATCTGGGTTTATGCCAGCATTGAGCCTCCATTGTTACTGTATTTGTCTGACTCTTCCTCCCACTGACACCCCCTGTGGGCTTACTGGTGCTGAATGCGAGCAGAGAGGGGCTGAAGACGTGTCAACAGAGCTGCGGCACCATTTCTACTCCACAGGGAACAGAAACTTTGCACTTGAGATGACATTTCTGCTCAAAATGAAGCAGTTTGTACCCCGAATGCAGAGAAGCCTCCATCCCTGATCTGAACCACTTGGTTTCTTCCGTCCGTTCTCCTATAAAATCCGTCAAAGTTTTGCACATTGAGCAATTACTATGCAGCAGACTCGACATTTATTTATACATATGAAGTGAAGTATTTATATTCACTTTTAAACTAATTATTTTTACTTTTATTTATCATTTTAAAATTTATTGGTAAATCTGATTTTGGATTGAGGTATTACATGAATAAATGTTAAGTCTTATTTCATGGTTTATTTATTTTTCATGTATCAAATCAAATCAAATTTATTTGTATAGCCCTTTACAATAGCCAAATGGTACCCAAAGTGCTTTACAACAAAACCAAATAACAATACTTAACACATATAAAACATACAGATACAATTAAAAGTGCTGTAGTGGTGCAGTGCTGCAGGACATTAAAAGCCTTCCAGAGGTGCATAGAAAGGGGCACACAGAGTATTATCCTAGTCAGAATGAAATGCTAATTTTAAAAAGTGGGTTTTAAGCTTTTTTTTTTAAAAGGCTAGTTTGTTCCACAGTCTGGGAGCAGCGACGGCAAAAGAACGATTGCCCCACTGTTAGAGTCTTGACTTAGGGACCTCTAACAGAAGCTGATCCGAGGAGCGAAAAGCTCTGCCACAATTGCGAAAAGTTAAAATCTCAGACAAGTAAGAGGGGACGAAGCCATGGATGGCCTTAAAAACAAACAGCAGAAGTTTAAAATCAATTCTAAAAAGGACTGGAAGCCAGTGGAGTGACGACAGCACAGGAGTAATGTGTTCACGTCTGGATGTGTTTGTTAAAAATCGGGCAGCAGCGTTCTGCACAAGTTGGAGATGAGAAATTGATGACTGACTGAGGCCAACGTAAAGGGCATCGCAGTAGTCCAGTCTTGAACTAATGAAAGCATGGATTGCCTTCTCAAGATCCTGCCGACCAGAGATGGGAAGTAACGAAGTACAAATACTTTGTTACTGTACTCAAGTAGATTTTTCTGATATTTTTACTTTACTACTTATTTTTATGGCGACTTTTTACTTCTACTCCTTACATTTTTACACAAATATCTGTACTTTCTACTCCTTACATTTTTAAAAATTGGCTCGTTACTTTAGTTTTGAATCATTTCAATGGAGTTACCGTTATTATTTTTCACATCATCAATACCAAATTCAATGTAATTGGATGGGAATCTACGTTGCATTTGACGCACCACTACAAGATGAATCGACAGATTCGGCGGTATTCATTCACGGCAAATCATTGCAGCTTGGTGGCGGTGGCGTTAGCATAGTAGCATGGACGACGAGATGATTAAAAATGAACACAACGGAGATCTAGTCCTATTGGCAGACATCCATTTAAAATGTAGGCAACGGCATGAAAAACTTGGTTTCTACTTTTACTTTTATACTTTAAGTAAATTTACAAGCCTGTACTTTGTTACTTTTACTTGAGTAAAGAAGATTAATCAGTACTTCCACTTTTACAAGAGTATTTTTTAACACAAGTATCTGTACTTTTACTCAAGTATGGAAAGTGAGTACTTTTGCCATCTCTGCTGCCGACTGAGAAAGGACTTGACTTTGGCCAAAAGAGCTGGAAAAACCTTGAGCTGACAACGGAGCTAATCTGTTTGTCAAATCTGAGCCCAGTATCAAATGTTACCCTGAGATTTTTGACATGAGATTTAAAAAATGTCTGTATGTAAAAAAAAAATGTATGTCTTTCATTTGACATTTTTGGTCTTTCATATATCTCAGAGATTACAGTGATCGCAAAAAACATCTCTTGTGACCCCCTGGGGGTCCCGACTTCCTCTTTGGGAAACCCTGCATTAAAAGTTGTGACCAAAACTGAAACGACAAGGTTTCATTCCTTCACATCAATCAGTGATGACGGGCTGAACGAAAGGTTCCTGTATAAAAACAAATTAACCGGCTGCATTTCTACAAATTCCAGACAGATCAAACAACAAACTGGCTCCAAACTTTGATCTTAAGTGATAGAGGATGAAAAACTAGACTTCAGACTCTTTAAAAACTTAGATTTTATAATTTACAGATATTAAAGTTAGATTCAAACCAAGCATGTCAAATCTGTATTAAACATTTTCTTTTAAGCATTGATTTCTCACTTCCTGTCCCCTTTGAGGTGTAAATACAGAGAAAGTTAGTCATTCTAAGAACACAGATCTAGGCCGGTCTTCATAAGAAAGTGATAATGTAAAAAAAAGAGCAACTTTTAAATCATAAAATTCAAAGCATTAATTGTAACGTTTGGTGAGAACCTACTGCAGTGACAGGATGAAGAACCGAGGTCTTTCATGGCGCCATGCACAGAAACGAGGGAGATTTCTTCACATTGATGACCTATAAATAAGGATATTCATAAAAGTTTCCTTCAGTTCCTTCTTATTGAGTATAAAAGCTGCAGCTCTGAACCTTTGGGTTCATCTCTCCTCACCAGACTCTGGGTGATGAAAACCTGTTTTATGCAAAAGTGACGAGAGATTAATGGACTCTGAATTCTTCAACTGTGTCTTCCTACAAAGTGACCAGTTACCTCCTGGTCTCACTGACTCTGCCTCCTATCAGGGCCTCAATCAAGACAAACTGGAACATCTCTAACATCAGTCTGCATGCACGTGTGTGTGCACAGCAAATTCTTTAGGTGTATCCTTGGCTCTTTGGTGTGGAGTTCAGACCGGGCGTTCTGGACCTGGATGAGCAGGGAGGGAACGTCGAAGGAAGAGAGGATATTCCTGTGACTTTTGCCAAACTGATCTTTGCCTGCTAAAACCACACAGCAAAGCTGCTGAGATGGACTTCTGAGAATTTAAAGTGACGTCATCCTTAAGGAAAACAACACGGCTGGTAACGAGTAACAGCAACGCAACAGCCGGTAAATTATTGGATTGAACAGACAATTCATTATGTTATCTTCCACAAAATCGCAGCTGCATGACTGCATGACTTCCCCTGACCCGCAACACAGGAACATTGGTCAGGATCCATGCCGAATGAGCGTTGGATTTGCTTTGGCTTGGATAGACATCAGCCTTCAGGAATATCAGATCGTTGATGTTGTTACTGATTAACGCCTTGCCAACTTTTCTGCAATGGAGGTACAGATACGCCTCCGTACTCTTGTAGTTGTGCATTGTAGATCCATCCACACCAAGTGACAATACAAAATAGTTTAAAATGTCCTGATATGTTATATGCGGCCACCTCTTCATGTCATCCTTCCACTCACAAATAGTGTGAGGGTTTAGCACCGACCTTCCACTCTGATCGCTCAGCCAATTAGGGAAATGTTGCCTCGACATTGTTTACTAAATCAGTAAAGCTACTGCTAGTTTGCATAGGGAAGCACTGAAACAGAAGTGATGCACAAAAGTTAGACCAGATGTTGGATCCATTTTTACTTCCGTGTTCGAAAATAAGGTGGATAGGTGAGGGATTTTATCTCTAAAGGGGAAAAAAAGGGGATTAATGTAAATATTAACTGTATAAAAAGTTGTTTGATATACCCCCTTTCCTGTTATTCCATAGAGCCTGCGGTGTACTTTGGAGAGCCTGAATATGTCGTGGAGGAGAGTTCTGGCTATGTGGAGGTGAAGGTCTGGAGAACAGGTACTGACCTGTCCAAGACCGCCACGGTTACCGTTCGCTCCAAGAAGAGCGATCCGGTTTCTGCAGAAGGTAAAACAGACAGTTTGGCATAAAACTGGACTCCCAGTCACAGATAAACAACCTTCTCTGCGCCGTCTAGCTGGACTCGACTACGTTGGCATCAGTCGGAACCTGAACTTTGCTCCTGGAGTGACCATGCAGACATTCAGGGTGACCATCTTGGATGATCTGGGTCAGCCACAACTGGAGGGGCCTGAGACCTTTGACCTGGTGCTGAGGATGCCCATGAACGCCGTATTAGGAGAACCGAGCAGAACGACCATCACCATCAATGACACCGTCACTGACTGTGAGTCCATGAATCACACCGCTGATCCCAAAGATCAGAGTTGAACTGATTCTTGATAGACCATGTATTTATTTCAGTTATTACAGCATTAGATTAAAACAGAATATACAGATTAGAAATACGACATTTTTCATTTATTATTGATTAATAAACACTTAAGAATGGACAGAAAATAATGATGCAAATTAAGGTTATTATTTAATTCATAAAATTTGAATTAATTATACTTTTAAATGATGAAACTTTTTTGCTCGACTGAAGGTAAAAAGTCCTGTCAGTTTCCTCAGATCGACCTTTAGAATAAGAAGTTCAACTCTTTTTATATTACGGTTAAAATAAAAACACTGAAATAATTTTAATGTGATTGTAAGATTGTATTTTATTCAAAATAATTGCATTATTATTATAGGGATTGCATTCGAGTCAATGAGTCAATGCAATCAACTGGTTTTCCTTAAATAGAAAACTTTTAATCAATCTGACTGGATGGTCTGGTGAACTGGAAAGTGCCTTGAGATGACATGTGTTGTAAATTGGCGCTATAGAAATAAACTGAATTGAATTAAATTAAATAAACATTTTCAACTGAGTTAGAATCCCACTGGGTTCTATTTAGCAGGTTTTTGATTCAATTTCAATTAGATTAAATCCAATTACAGTAAAAAAAATATTTAATTTAATAGATATAATTTTACTAGAATAATTTTTTTTCAATAATATAGCTCAGTTTAGTTAAATGTCTATTATTTCTGAAAAGCTTTAGCTTTTGATGAATTAAGGGTTTTCTTCTAGAATTTCGGGATTTTTCTCTCTTGATTTACTTTGTGCAAATGTTTTTGTTATGAATATACTGAGCTGGAATATAGAGTGAAACAGGAACCAAAAGGTTTGTCACAAACAATTTTTTTTTTTTTTTTTATCCTTTACTGAAATAAAGAAAATTTTAACTTAAAATCTATTTGGACACACAAATAAATATTTTAAGTAAAGATTTTTTTAAAGGATTTTAAACTAAAAATATGTTTGAAACTGGAAATAATAAAAAATACACTAAAAACAAAATTGGAAAATAAGAATTGAATCCAGAAAAAAAAATGCTGGCCCCATGGCGGGGGGGGGGGGGGGGGGGGGGGGGGGGGGGGGGGCGGAGCTTATGTTATGTGAGGGGTGGAATGATAGCTAAGAGCTTAGATGTCTGGACAATATATTATCTGCTGTTTTATTCAGGAACCGTGAGAAAAAGAAATGTCTTTAAAACCTCATGAATATGCTGCGTTTATGTAAAAGGTTTTTAAAAAGTAAAAACTGCCTCACTGATCTGAGCAGTGAAGCTGATATTGACCAATATGAGGAACGTTTTCAGTCCTTGTTGGATGCTTCCCATCCTTTCGAAATAAAGCAGAAGAGCCGTCAGACTGATTACAGTACAATCATCAGATCAGATCAGTGAAGTGACCGATGAACAAACCAAATACCCATGATTCATTAGAGTATTTCTAGTTCCCACGGTTCCTGAATGCAACAGCTTGGAATATTTTGTCCAGGTGCCTTCACTTGCAATCATCAATCCACTCCCCATAACATCTAAGCCCCTCCCTCAAAAAGAGGGACCAGCAGTTTGAAACTGGGGGGGGAAAAAATCTGAAAAAAAATTTCAGTTTACAAATATTGTTTTTGATCAAACTTCATAGCCCTAGTTGGGCTCCATGGCTCTTAGGACATCAACCCAAACACTCAGGCAGTGAAAGTACCTGCTCTCAATCTGTTGAACGATCTTCATGGTTCTTCTTGGTTCAGTGCCAAAGGTTCAGTTTAAGGAGGGCAGCTACAAGGTGGACGAATCAGATGGTGAAGTGAGAGCCATAATATACCGCAGCGGCGACATCGGCCTCAGATCCACGGTGCGCTGCTACACCCGGCAGGGCTCCGCTCAGGTAATGATGGACTACAGCGAGAGGCCGAATACGGAGGCGTCCATCATCACCTTCCTGCCAGGTGCGAAGTCACCAAGTCTCCTCCCTCCTCACCCATCCTTACTGTTGTCCTAACTGAATGTTTTCTGCTGTTCTAGGAGAGTCAGAGAAGCCATGTGTGGTTGGCCTGATGGACGACTCCGTTCATGAGGAAGAGGAGGAGTTCCGCCTGGTGCTGGGGAGTCCAAAGAGCAAATCCCCGTATGGCGCCTCGATTGGAGAGCAGAAGGATGCCCTGGTCACCATCACAGATGACAAAGACAGTACGATCAAATACACTATAACATGTTAAAGGATTTGATATGGAAAAGCTTTGAAGTAGCAGTCAGGGGCAGAGCCAGATGGTGGGCTGTAGGGGCACTGGGCCCATCTGACGGTAAAGGTAAATGGGCACCATACCATTACCAGGCCCCTGTGCCCCCCAGCTTAGAAGATGAATATCTATACAAATAATATGGCATTTAGCATTAACATAATACTAAACAGCAATTATATTTAAACATGAAGCTATTACATTACCGAATAAAATACAATAATTAAAAATGTTATGCTCTTTTGATTTGCATTGAACAGAAATGTAAGACAGGATATGTTGCTCTAACACCGTCATGCTATGTTCAGACCGCATGCTGCAGAAGCAGCAGATGCAGCTGGTTTCGATGCAAAGTCAATGGTTAGCATGCATCAAGGCGCATCAAAAGGTCCTGCAACCTCTAGAGCAACAGGAGCAGCGCATCTTAATGCATCTGAGCAGCTGAAGCAGCGCCTCTTGAGCTTCTGAGCATCTGAGGCGCGTTGCACAAGCAGCAACTACTGGAGATGGAAAAATTAAACTTTTGCTGCACAGCGCTGCTGATGCAGATCGCTATGATCACTCCCCTTAAAATAGTTTATTAACACCTAAACTAAATTAAAATGGTGCCTGCAGTTTGGATTACGTACATGAAAAACATCTTCCACCCGCCGCAAACAGTAACAGAAACCCCTAAGAGGCGACCAGGCCAGAGGCTGCTGTCTAAGGGGAGTTCCAGTGACAGCGCACCGCCGGTGTGCAGGGGTTTCATGTTGGTCCTACAGCAAAATAATATTTGAAGGCAGGATGGTAATCTTGATAAACTGCCTGCACAGATGAAGTTTTCAGGTGGACTTTTTCACTTAAAAACATTATAAAACTACTTTTTACCCACTGATCACAGCAAATATAGTAAAGCCACTCTCTGCCATTGAACACAGAAGCAGCAGAAGCATGAGAAGCATCTGGACACATTTTACTAGATGTGCTTCAGGAACATCGAAGATGCTCTTGGCGCACGTCTGACCTTAATGTGAACAAGCATCAAAAATTAAGCAGCAGAAGCTTTTTTGCTGCTTCCAGCGCTTGCGGTCTGAACGTAGCATCAGACTATTTCCTTTCCTTTCAATGAACTGGATGCTAACTGCAAGATCACAGTTTGCATCCTGTTCATTGAAAGGAAAATAAAAAGTCTGACAGTATATAAGAGAGATATACCATGGTCTGAGGCTTTATTCTGCTAGCAGAACTTTAAACAAGCGGCTCTGGATCTGGTTGATCTCAGATAACTGTTATATCTTGGCTCTTTTAAAGGAATAGTACACCCAAAACATGATTAGCCTTCATTTTCTACTCACCCCCATGCTGAACAACACTCTGGAGTACTTTTTTGATATCTCAAATGCATCTGGAGATCTGGGAGGCTTCTTGCTGTCTGCTAAAATTCAAATAATGGAGGTCTATGGCGCCCGAGACAGAAAGGTCCACAAAAGTCCACAAAAAACGTGTCAATATTCCTCCATACTGCTCGTCCAATGTATTCCAAGCATAGGCGGATCTACTGGGGTGGCATAGGGTGGCAAATGCCACCCTAAATGACAGCCTTGCCACCCCTGCTGCCACCCCAGTTGGCGGAAGGGGTGGCAAGGCTTATAAATTATGGCTCATTTGAGAAATACGACCGCTAATTTCCAATGTCGGACTGCAGTGAATGCAGCACGAGATGACAGAGAGCGACTGAGACTGATTGTTTTGAAAACCGAGCGGGGCAAAGCGAGGGAGTCAGTGATCATGGGGGGAGGAGAAACGGGATGAAACAGGTAAAAACTGATTAACTATCTATAGAGAAATGAAATCATAATGAAAGCACAATGTTGCTAGCATAGCTGCAATGCTGATTTACAGATGATAAAAATCAGGTTGCAGAACGTTATTTCTCTAACTATGATGTTAGTTAGGCCTGAAGTCTCAGGCTCATAAAGACATATTTGCGGTCAACTATGACAGAAAAGAGATTATCAAGTTTGGTTGAACTCAAATCAAAACGCACAAAGGGATTGGATCTAAATTAAGTTGTGAAGCGTTTTGCTGAGCAACATGGAAATCACTGCATTCAGCTGTTATAGTCATGTTAACTTTATGTTATGCTCTCTGGTGAGCCTTTACAGAGCTGTTACATTTTGTTTTGGCACCTGAGAAAATCTGATATTTCCTTTAATAAAACCAAAAGTGTTAAAAGTTAAAATGTGATACTGGTGTAAATCCTGCTTAATATGAAGCAGTGTTGTTGTTTCTTTTTTTGTATATATAATATGAAACTATCCAGAAATGACCTGTATGAACCTACTCACAAGCAAAATGTATTTTTATGTCTCTTCTTTTCAGATTTGTGGAGATTTTGATGTAACATACAGAACCCGCCTTTTTGTTGATTTGTTGATACAGCAGTATGGAGGACCAACTCTGCCATATTTAAAAATAAATACAGAAATAAATAAATGCTTAATAAATAAATAAGCATACAATTAATTGCCACCAAAAATACAAACAACAAATAAATGTAAGTAGAAATTAAATTATACAGCTAGTCATAAAAGTATATAACTCTTTTTATTTGTTTGCCTTTTTAATATTTACCTTATTTATTTTTTTGTCATTTATAATCTTCAACTTCATTTTTTAATTACTTATATTTTTAAGTATTTACTTATGTGCATGTTATAATATTTTTGTCTCATTTTATTCTTCCTTTTTTTTTTAACCCTAGTTATTTCTTCGCCGCTATTTCTTTCTGCCTGCCCTTTTAACATTTCTGCCTGCCATTATAATATAATTTCTAATTACATTTATTTGTTGATTGTATTTTTGGTGGCAATTAATTGTATGCTTATTTATTTGTTGAGCATTTATTTATTTCTGTATTTATTTTTAAATATGGCAGAGTTGGTCCTCCATATACAGCTCTATCTACAGCAGATCTACATGCATGAAATGTCCCTTTCATGTTGCCTTAACTGCTGTATGTCAAGTTACTGAGGAACAAATGGGGTAAATGTGTGTTCAGAGTAAACATTACATAGATGTCCAGTACCTTGTTCGGGCGCCTTTACCCATTTATTTCTACTGTGTAGTTCTGCTCACTTTAGTCCAGCTCAGTCCATAGATCTCTGATGGGAAACTTTTTCTTTCTATAGTTTCTTCTTGTGCAAATGCTGCAAAGCTGCCTCTCTGACAGTCAATCTCACACATCTGCGACTCAGCACCTGTGTCTTACCTTAATATCTTTCCTGTCATAAGGCCCCTCTAGAAGTAGTGTTATCATTCTTCTATCTCCTATTAAGTGAGATCACATTCTACGATGTATTATTAATATGAACTGCTTCACATGGAACACTAGTACTGTACATACTATTCTCACCAAACTGTGATAACTGTGATTAAATTCAGTGTAAACAAATGCCATATGTTGCCACCCCTAAAAAAATCCTGCCCCCCTCTTGCCACCCCATAAATATTTTTCTAGATCCGCCCCTGATTCCAAGTGTCCTGAGTGGGTAGTAGGGGTGTGCAAAATAATCGTCATGATGATGCATCGTGATTCTAATTTTTGTGATCTACTGCATCGATATTTGATGCCAAGTATCGATTATTAATTTAAAAAAATTAATAAACAAAATTGCATGAATGGTTGGCGAACATCAGCCACAAACAAGTGTAATACAACTTCCAGTCCAGTAGATGTTGCTGTGGATGTGTTGACGCACGCTGCCTTGTGTCTCAAGCATTTCTGGCCGCGGGATACTGCGCCGAGTCATTCAAAAACAAAACATGGAGGAGAAAATATTGCAATGCTTTGCAATAATTCAAGTATCGTGATGCATCGTGATAGAATCGCATCATGGCCTGTGAATCGTGATTCGAATTGAATCGTGACTTCTTTGGCAATACCCACCCCTAGTGGGTAGCATCCAGAATTTACTCGAAACGAAGTCATTTAGAATGTTTTTAGAGCATAAACAGTAGTGTATAGGATTTCCTGAAAGCGCGCACATGCGCGCTCACGACGCTACGGAAGCCGGCAGACCAAACCAGCGCATTCAGCTCGGCAAAGAACTCATGCTCTTCCTCAACACTGAAGTCCTCAGACATTTTTCTTTCGTTGTTTCTTTCTTTGCACAGGTAAACAGCACATTTCTTCTTCTACGCTTGCATTATTTGCAGAGCAGACGCTGAATGCGCACTTTCATCTGGCTTGGTCTGCCGGCTTCCGTAGCGTCGTGAGCGCGCATGTGCGCGCTTTCAGGAAATCCTATACACTACTGTTTATGCTCTAAAAACATTCTAAATGACTTTGTTTCGAGTAAATTCTGGATGCTACCCACTCAGGACACTTGGAATACATTGGACGAGCAGTATGGAGGAATATTGATAGGTTTTTGTGGACTTTTATGGACCTTTCTGCCTCGGGCACCATAGACCTCCATTATTTGAATGTCAGCAGACAGCAAGAAGCCTCCCAGATCTCCAGATGCATTTGAGATATCAAAAAAGTACTCCAGAGTGTTGTTCAGCATGGGGGTGAGTAGAAAATGAAGGCTAATCATGTTTTGGGTGTACTATTCCTTGAAGGTCATTAACTCATTATGCCCTCTCCATCTAGCGTGTTAACTGCTAGCATGTCTTCTTCTATCCTGTTTCAAATATTAACCTAATGCCCTCCACTTTTAAAAATAAAAAAACACAACCTGGACAATTATTTTCAACCCTTTTATGAAACTTAATATTTTATTTATATACAACTTAGTTTCTTAACTGATTAGATTTTCTGGGAACCAGGCAATAAACAACTTACACCTCCATTTCCCTGCAGAATTAAAATGAGGTAAGACAGATACCATCAGCTTTATAGCTGAGAACCCAGGTTTACTTCACTGCTATACAGTGAGGAGGAAGTCTTGATGGTGAAACAATCTGCAGCCAAGAGCGGCAACAAAGGGTCAACCAGCCTCCACAACTATTAGCTGCTAACGATAGGCAAACAACTTGTTTGGAAAGGAGGATGTCTCCTCCTTCGGCTGGCATTGTAACAGCAGACTTGAGACAAAGCAATAAAATAGTATAGATGAGTTTGATGCGAAGCAAAAGATGCATGTATCTGGAAGCTCCTCCCACTGTTTAGTTTAGTAATGCTGTGGGCCTGGTTAAAGCCTCTTTGGGTCCTTGTTAGGGTACATTTAATCACAGAAATTCATTTCAGAACACTGAAACCAGGTCGGAGAGATAGAAAGATCATTTCAGGAAGAAACAATCCAAATCTAGTGACCTTAGAATCTGTTAGCCAGACTGACACCATAAACAACAGCCAATGACCAGAAGAAGAGTTATAGAAGATGTAAGGACAAATGTGTTTTAGTTTTTATGTGTTTATGCTGAGTTTCTGTGCAGCTAGAAAACTCTACTTACAAACATTTGTATTCCCTATTTCTGGTTTATTTTATAGCAGGAGTATTCATAACTATTTCTAAGGGGAATTTAGAGATTAATAACCAATTATTCATCTAATACACGTTTGCATCAAAGTTAAAGGTTGGATTTTTCTAAGGCTGCTCCCAGCAAGCTGAAAAAAATAAACCAAGAGGTCAATATTATTTCTGACTTCTACTGAAATAATCTGTGGGGATTCTCACTGGTCTTATTGGATTAACTTTCCTTTTTTAGAGCCTATCATCCGTTTTTCGGAGATCAAATACAGCGTGCGTGAACCTCAGGTCAAAGGTGAGGTGGCCAGAGTGAAGATTCCCATCCTGCGTTTTGGAGACACATCAAAGCTCTCGGTGGTGAGAGTGCACACGAAGGATGGCTCTGCAACCTCTGGAGAAGATTATAACCCGCTGTCAGAGGGTAAGGGGCCCCGGTCTGGGCTTGGGTTGAAAATCCTCTCAGCTGATCCGTCTTTACCTTCCGTTTTGTTTTTAAGATGTGGAGTTCAAGGAAGGAGAGAAGGAACATTTTGTTGAAATCGAGATCCTGTATGATGGTCAGAGAGAAATGAGAGAGGCCTTCACAGTTCACATGAAGCCTGACGACCACATGGTGGCTGAAATACAGGTGAGCTAAAGACCGCATGGCGCCAAAAAACAAACAGCCTGCGCACGGGAACACGCCTCCCCTCATGTCAGCCCGTGTTAAAATAGGCAGGCAGCAGCTGGCCTCGCTGTCAGCGCAGCAGAGCCGAAGCTCAGCTCTTTAAAAAGCTTTTCCCTCTGGAATGAGATGCTGAGGGGAATGTCCCTGCAGAAGACAAACCTATAAACAGAACGGGGTCATTCTAGCCGTACGCTCTGCAGCAGCCGCATGCCATTCAACCCAGAAATAGATCATCACTCTTAAAATTGCTTTGTGCTTCGTGATATTGTAATTAAAGCTGTGAATCCCACAGGGAGCTCCTCTTTAAATCTGCATGTATGGAATCACGGCATCTCTGATCTGATTACAGATTACAGTCAGAGTCTGAAAGACCAATAAGAGGTAAATTAGCCACAGGAAAAAACGTGACTTGGAATGACTTAGATTGGTCAAAATTAGGGAGAAAATGGACATTTGAGATGATTGAAGAGAACCAGAGAGCAGAACTGCTGACCTATCAGTTAATGATCAGCACAGATCTAGACTGTTAGATCCTGGCTAATTTTTTAGCAAAGGAAGGAAAACCATAAAAATACTTCCTATTTTACCACATTAGAGATAAGACCACAGTATTTATGTTTGTATTTATTTCACCCCTATAATAAAACCCAGTCCAACCTACTTGTTTCAGAAGCTAAAGACAATCGACCTGTGTGTGATTTAATCTCAGCGATGATGAAGCTGTTCTGCTTCTGGACTCAGATGTTCTTTAGTGAACAAATAGGCAAATAGGCATAGACCAGTATCGGGGTATTGCAGGCTAACAAAGAACTCAAACATCTGTCCTTTCCTAAGGGGCGGGCCCGTTCTTCTGGTTCAATTTGCATGTTTTCTAAGCCAAAAATAGGCTTTGTTTTTGATCCTCTCTCTAAAGCCTCAAACTCAACGCTATTTCTGTCATTTTAAATGTAAAAAGCTTCCTAGATGGGAATCGAAACGTTTTCAAACTTGGAAACAAATTTCAGTAGATTGTTTTTTTTTTGGAATGATGTTGACCTGGATGACTGAGAACCGTTGGAGAAGTTACAGTTTCCTCCTGTTCCTCCCAGATGAACAAGGCCATGGTCTACATCGAGGAGATGGACAGCGTTGCAGATGTCACCTTCCCCGCAGTGCCTCAAGTGGTGTCTCTCCTCATGTATGATGACACAACCAGAACCGGAGACAGACCCAACCCACCCAATGGCTATCCTGTAGTGTGTGTGACGGTGGGTCCAGTCCTCCTCCTCCTGCTCTCTGATCATCAAACGTTGTTTATCTGAATGTTTTTCTTAACTGTTTCTCTGCATTTCCAGGCCTGCAACCCAAAGTACCACGACTTTGATAAAACAGGCTCCCTCTGCTCTGCAGAGAACATCAACGACACTCTGACCCAGTACCGCTGGCTGATCAGCGCTCCCACCGGACCCGACGGAGTGACCAGCCCCATCAGGGAGGTGGACACCAACACCTTCTTCACCAACACCAAATCCATCACCTTGGACTCCATCTACTTCCAGGCCGGGTCCAGAGTTCAGTGTGCAGCCAGAGCCTTCAACACGGATGGATACGCTGGCCTGGAGCTGTCCAGTCCCATCGTCATCATCAGTACTGAGGAGGGTGAGTTCTAGAAGAATCGTCAGCTCAGGCTGATGCCTCTGTGAGTTCAGTCATTTGCAACGGCTTCCACTCCCCACAGGAATGTGTCAGCCCAGGGTCCCGGGAACTGTTGGAGCAGAACCTTTCTCTGCCAAGATCCGCTACACCGGTCCAGATGATCCAGACTTCCCAAACCTCATCAAGCTGACCATCAGCATGCCTCACATGGATGGTGAGTTTCTTCCATGCTTGGTTCCATTTAGCTTAAGACCAAATCAATCTACCGTGAACTTGTGCCCTCCCCCCCAGGAATGCTCCCAGTGATCTCCACCAGACCTCTGTCTAACTTTGAGCTCACCCTGAGCCCGGACGGCACACGTGTGGGGAACCACCGCTGCTCCAACCTGCTGGACTTCAACGAGATCCAAACCGCCTACGGTTTCATCACTGATGCGACAAAGAACCCTGAGATCATTGGGGAGACATCGCCATACCAGTACAGCGCCGCCATGCGTTCAGCAAACTCTCTACGCTTCTATAGGAACCTGAACCTGGAGGCCTGCCTGTGGGAGTTCACCAGCTACTACGACATGTCCGAGCTGCTTAACGACTGCGGTGGCTCCATCGGCACCGACGGACAGGTGAGCCCCACTTACCCAACCCAGACCCAGGCTTTATGACATCAGCGGTGACTTAAAGCTGCTTCAGGGTGGAATGGTTGCAAGATTTCACTTCTAGTTCCATTGAAGGAAAGGTTTTCAAATCAAGTTCTCAACAGATGCCATCCTGAGGCTTTTAGATGCTTCCACCTGTAAACTCTCCTGTAGTCCACAGTATTCTTAAATAAAACCTGAGATCCTCTGTCCACCAGCTGAGTCTTTGACCTGACCGCATCCTCAACAAGACAGCAGACAGATAGTGGGACACCTACAGCAGAAAGGCTTAGAGGATAAACTGAAGGTGTTGGAATGGCCTAGTCAAAGACCAAAGCTCTGCCTGAATGAAGCTGCAGTTATTATAAGGCCGATGCCATTATGTCATCAGTCTAACAAATCCTTAGTATGTTATTTTTGGGGCCAATATTCCTTTTTCTTGCGCAATTTGTGTGATAAAAATGACTCAAAGGAAACAAATGTTACACAAGTCAAAATTAAAACAAGAAGAAAACTTTAATATAAAAATTCAAACAGAACATTTACAATGATAGCAAAGAAGGGGAGCAGTGCTGCGTTAGCTTCACCTGATCTGAAACAATGGCTGCTGAGCACAATGATGAAACCACAAACAGGTTCAGGTATCGGCCGATGCACATACAGAAAAAGCACTAATACGGCGGCTGACATCCATCTCTGATTGAAACCTCTCTGATATGAAGGAATGTTCTAGAGGAGACTGGGTCCAAGTTCCTCCACAGCAGCCTGAGAACGTATACAGGAGACCACTACTTTGGGTTTTAAAGGTGTTTTCCCAAACTGCAGTTTCTATGCTGGTTTCATTCTAGATGAAAACAATAATTAGCTCTATATTTCACTAAAGATGCACCGATCCGATACTTGGATCGGATATTTCTGATATCCAGAGCACTTTACATGGAATTATTATTTCTTTCTTTTTGTGTTGCTTATTTGTTAAAGTCGTAGGGAAGTCATATTTGAATGTCAAATCATTCTAGCTTAAACACGTATATAAATGTACTCTTTATCATATGATATTGTGCCAAAAGTTAGAACATTTCGTTTAAAAAAAAATTTTTTTTTAATCTGTGTGTTTTTGTTCCATTATCTTATGCAGGCCAGTTAGTTATGCGTCAGCTTCTACACCTAAATTCGGTCAATCATATATCAACGATCATCTGTCAATCAAATGTTTTCTGTCATTGCATTTTGATTCATATGGCGCAGCTAATATACGCAATGGTTGAAATAAGACATAAGAATCAATTTCCCATTGAGTTCCGTCCCAGTGTTCACAGGGATGGACGTCTTCAGCAGGCGTAGAGCTAACAGAACTGGCAGCGTTGCAAGGCAAGGCCTCAAACATGTACGGCTGGAAGCCTTCTACACCAAACCAAGCTTCTGCCACCCTGGCGTCCTCTTCCACAACAACTTCGTCCCCGCTTTCCTCCTCTAAATAAAAAATGTCACATTCACTTTATTCACTCATGTAAGTTGGGCACCAATAGCAGAAATCAGAAATGCAACTGTTGGAACAGCCGTTTCTCTATGACCTTAATTAGGGATGCACGATATTGGGATTTTGGCCGATATGCAGATATTTTAAAACTCATGTAGCCGATAACCGATATCGATACCGATGTTAAAGCTGGACAAAAATAAGTAGTCATTGAAAATAGCAGTTTTGTTATCCATTTCTGACACTTTGAAAAATAATATACTCAAATATATTTTCATATGCTGATATCAAATTGATTTTTAAAAACGTGGTATCGATCTATTTTACTTTCAAAATCTCGTGAAATTTCATCATTCTGTTACAAACTCTCGTGATATTTTGTAAATTCTTGTGAGATTTTGTTAGTAAAATAGATCGATACCTCGTCAATATATCAACATATAAAAATATGGCAACATTTCGTGAATTTTCGGGGTATTTCGTAGCATGATATATAGCAATATTTCATTAGTAAAAGAGATTGATATGGTGTTTTTAAATGGCAATATATCAGCATATGAAGATATTGGGATATTTTAATGTATCAATATTTTTTCCCTTGTCTTTAGAAGTTTTTAAGTCTGTAAAAAAGAAGTTTTTGAGGAAAAAGAAGTAGTATTTTTTTTTTAGACTTTAGAAACTCAGAAGCTGATCAAATATCGGGTTAAATATCGGTCGGGTGGGCGATGTGCGATATTCAGTTTTAAGGCCGATACAGGCCGATACCGATAGGGGGCCGATTATATCGTGCATCCCTAACCTTAATAAATAATCAAAATTCTATATATATCTGCATTAGTTTGTCACCTTTTTTTACCATGTTGATGTCGAGGCTAAAGCCTTCACTTACATGGCAAGATAAATGGTTTATTCGTTCAACAGCTGAATCAGTATCAGATATCGGTCGATACGCTCAGCCCAGGTATTGTTTTCGGATCGGATCAGAATAAAATGGATCGGTGCACCTCTATATGTTAGAGACAGGCATTACATTGGCCAGACGCTGTTTTGGGCTAATATTAGTGATTTTTCCTTGCATCACAATTAGATGATTTATCAGTTTGTTCAGCTGCTTTGAGATCATGTGAAGATCAGATGTTGCTGCTCCTCCATCTGTTAATGTTTGGTTCGATGAGACTGATGTGACATTAGTTGTCATTGTGTCATTCTTACCATGCAAATGGTGGAAGAAAAGCAATATCTGCTCTAAAATAAGCAGCAAATATCAGGTAGACTGATGTCACAATAATTGGTAATTGGCCTCAACAAATCCTGCATCAGTTTATCTGTACTCTGTGTTTAGTAAAGTTGAGGTGAGGTGTAAATGACTGACAACCTGACGCATTTTAATGTTCTGGTGACCTAAAACACAAACTTTTTTCTTTTCACTGAAACATCTGAGTGAAGGTAAAATGTATCAGATTTTCAGATGTGATGTTTTTCTATCCTCCAGGTGCTCAACCTGGTCCAGTCCTACGTTACTTTGCGTGTTCCTCTCTTTGTGTCCTACGTCTTCCACTCGCCCGTCGCTGTCGGAGGCTGGCAGCACTTTGACCTGCAGTCGGAGCTTAAGCTCACCTTTGTGTACGACACGGCCATTCTGTGGCAGGACGGCGTCGGCAGCCCGCCTGAGGCAGAGCTACAAGGTACGCCATCCGTCCTCTTTCCAGAAATCCATTTGTGCCAAATGTGACAGCGTCTTCTGTTCCTGCAGGAGCCATGTACCCCACCAGCATGCGCATTAATGAGGAGGGGCGCCTGGTGGTCAACTTCAAGACGGAGGCTCGCTTCAGGGGACAGTTTGTTATGTCTCATCCAGGTATGTGATTGGTGCCGGCATGCATACATTCACATCCCAAACTTGTCCTGCTGGTTAATTTGGTAGTAGCAGGAGCAGATCAGGTTACTGTGGCCAACATCCTCTATTCCTCTATTTCTGGAGTTCCGCCTCAGGGGTCTTTCTCTTGTGAAACTGCCAAAGGTCACTGAAGCAAATGTTGAAGTGACCCTTAGTGCTGGAAGCACGGCGCTCTAAAACACCCCTATAAATAAGACACAAATGCTGTGCTATAGTGCTGCCTGTGTTTGTATCTGTCCTTAGGAACCAGTGTGTCCTCCATGGTGATCTGCGCCGACATCCCCGGCCTGACCTTCACCCTCGCGTTGGTCAGAACTGAGCCTACATACAACCAGCCCATGCAGCAGTGGAGCTTTGTCTCAGATTTTGCGGTGAGTCTTCCTTCTGTGAAAAGGTAAAGTAGCTTAATGTTCCCAAGGCTTGAGCAGCGTGAACGTCTGGTTTCCAGGTACGGGACTACTCCGGAACCTACGCCGTGAAGCTGGTTCCCTGCATGGCGTCACCCAATGGGGAGTTCAGCATCCCTCCCGTCTGCCACCCCAGAGAGCCGCTCACTTTCGACATGGACATTCGCTTCCAGCAGGTATCGCACCAGTCGATGACAATAACAGCTATCTATGTGGGGCTATGGCCCTTTACCCAGGGCACAACCCTGTCAGCGGGGTAGCCCACGGCAACCTAAAAGAGACGTCAGGTATTAGAAGAGAAGGAATTTTCTAAAGTGTGTTGGGTTGTTTGTGGTGGTGACACTACATTGCTCGAGGATCGCTGCACAGCCAGCAATCTTCTACTGTCTGTATGGAGTCAGCGGAGAGCCCAAACAACTCCTTCTAATAAATGACCAATCAGAAACCACTATGCAAATAAGCCTGCAAGTAGCCTGCCTAGCAACCAGAATCAGTTTTATCTCTCATTGAGAGGAAAAACCCAGTGGGTAAACTTTAAGGAAGTGAAAAATCTGCATGAAATTCATTCTAGTGATTAATGTTGTGAGAGACTTTTTAGATAGTCAACTATAAAAACAGATGCAAATACAACATCTGCTTTATTACTTTCAAACTACCTTACAATTATGGAGGATAAAAAGTGCCAAAATTAAATAACTAAATACAGCATTAAATAAATAATTAAATGTGTCAATAATTAATTAAATGTGGAATTAAATAAATAAATGTGTCATTCATTAATTAAAACCATGTCACTAATATAAAGTGCCACAATTAAATAAATAAATACAGCGATAAACGATTAATTAAATGTGTAATTCATTAAATAAATAAGGAATTAAATATATAAATGTGTAATTAATTTAATAAAATACGTCTTCATTTTATTAAAAAAATATATATAATTATTTCAGTGTGCATTTAATTATTTCATGGTCCTGTGTCGCAGTGCATCGAAACCATTAAAAGAATCTGTCAAACTCACCCATCAAAGTTAGGGCGCGGTTATCTAACATCTGATTGGTCACCCTGCACATTAAGGCGAAGCAAATCGATTACAGAGACTCGATTCGCGTTAATCCCGCCCCCTGTGTGTGTGTGTGTGTGTGTGTGTGTGTGTTGCCATCATGGCTTTGTCAAGCTGCTGCCTACCTTTATGAAGCAGGAAAAGACTAATACAAAGTGAATCCAGTAGAACTTTTTATTGCCTACCTGGAATGGGTGACAATAGTTGATTAAATATTTGGCGATCAAAATGATATCGGTGCCCTATTTGTTGGTACTCACTGATACTGATACCACCATTTTAGTGCTGGATCGGGGCCCCGCCTGATACTGGTATTGGTATCGGCGTAACACTAACCCAGGGGGTTCCCAAAGGTTCCTACCTGTGTTTACCAACTTTGTTGGAGAGTGAAGTAAATATATTCATTTTTCATCATTTAAATTAGTTTTTTACTTATTTATTTGGAGATTTAACTGCTTATTGAGCATGATAGAATTTAATGGTATATTAAATGATGTTTAACTCAATATTAATTTTCCTTATTTCATACTGCATTTATTCATTTCATGGGACAAACCTTTATATATTGGGCTTCCATATACTTTAGGGATTATATAAAAGTTACTATATTGGGAACCTGTGGTCTAAAGATTACGCCCCCCCCTCCCTCCTGATGTGATGTGTCATCCTCTCTGACAGGTGAGCGATCCGGTGGCGGCTGAATTCAGTCTGAACACTCAGATGTTCCTGCTGTCGAAGAGAGAGCTCTGGTTGTCTGATGGCTCCATGGGCTTCGGGGAAGGAACTGATGCAGCGTTTTCTGAAGGTTGGACACCACTGCCCTCTAGTGGAGTAAGAAAACATTACAGCTTTGACCTCCAGACTTGGTTATTCACCTGCTGCTCTTTGTCTCAGGCTCCACCATTTACGGCCGTGTTATGGTAGACCCCGTCCAGAACCTGGGCGACTCCTTCTCCTGCAGCATCGAGAAGGTTTTCCTCTGCACCGGAGCGGACGGATACGTCCCCAAGTACAACCCTACGAACAGGGAGTATGGCTGCCTGGCAGATGCTCCTTCTCTGCTCTATAGATTCAAGATTTTGGTAGGAAGCAACACATTTCAAGGTGATTTAAGAGAGGTGTTGTTTCTGGTTTTAATGCGTGTGGTTCTGCAGGACAAAGCCCAGCCAGAGACCCAAGCTTCAGCCTTTGGGGATGTTGCCTTCAAGGCCAAACTGGCCCAAGATGCTCCCGGAGCACAAACATTGGTCAGGCAGCCAGGTTCAGACGGCTTCATGCTGTCTTCTACGCCGCTTTTTCAGGTCAGTGACTCTCAGAGGGATCAGGTCCAACAATCCTTTCCACAACTCTAATCTATAGTCCAGATTACCAGGAATGCTTGAACAGTAGTTCTCCTCTCCTTTATGTTATTTCAGGCTGTTGTTAACTCATGTTTTTTTAGCTCATTGAGTCTGACTTGACCTGATTGATGAAATGTTTTTGTGGGACAAATCTGTCAAATGTTGAGGATATTTCTTTTCAGCAGTGGATCACTGAGACACTAAATGTTCTGATGTATGATGATAATAATGGACACTAGAGAAATGTATCTCTGCATTTGACCCATACCCTTGGGGAGCAGTGGGATGCCATTGTGCGTCGTCCGGGGAGCAGTGTGGGGTTAAGGGTTTTGCTCAGGAACCCAGAGTGGAGGCTGTGGGGATCGAACCCCAAAGCATCAAGGTTTTCTCCTAAAAACCATCCAGAGTAGAAGATGAGGATCGACTCGTCTCTCAGATCTTTTATTTTCGCTCTTTAGATTTGAGATCCATGGCTAGTAAATGGCCTAAACTTATATAGTGCTTTTTCAAGTCAGGAGACTTGACCAAAGCACTTTACACTACCTTCAGTCATTCACCCATTCACACACTGATGGTGGCAAGCTACATTGTAGCCAAAGCTGCCCTGGGGCTCACTGACAGAAGTTAGACTGCCTTACACTAATGCCACCGGGTCCTCTGACCACCATGAGTAGGCAATGCAGGTGAAGTGTCTTATCCAAGGACACAACGACACTGGAAGGGCAGACTCCTGCACCCAACGCCGCTGTCACCCAATGGATCCCTTTTTAGGCCAGAAAAGCTCCAGTGTTCAAGGGGAGAACTGGAAAGAGGTGGAACAGGAAGCAAATGTCTATGAAGATCATTTTAAAGGCGACCTACTTTAAATCGTAAAGTTTTCTATGAGCATTGGAAAAAAAAATTAGGGCGCAGATGAAGACCACCATCTTGGTTTGTTTTTCAGGTGGCTGCAGGTCGAGAATGGTTCATCCACACCATCTACACCCTGCGCTCCACAGACAACGCTAACCGACACATTGGTAAGCGCAGCGTTGAAGACCTCCAGCACAGCATCTCCTCGGTCGGGCAGCCTCTCTCCGCCCGCCATCGCCGAGCCGCTGCCGCCGAGCTCTCCGCTCCGGCACTGGCTCAGGACATCGGTGCCAGAAACAACCGGGGCACCAACATCCAGCACATTGCTTTGGATCGATCGGACCATGTGAGGGTCACCCAGCAGCAGCCCTGGGCGCCCCGCAGCAACCCTCATCTGGAGCGCCCCCTGCTGGAGAGTTCAGGCAGAGAGCCGGCTGACGCCTCCTTCCTGCCCATGTTGGTGGGAATCGCAGGTCTGGTTCTGCTCATCTGCCTCGTAGCCATCGTGGTCGTTCTGCTGCTGAGGCGCAAGAGGGGGGAGAAGGCGGCTCAGTTCCCTCCGTACTCCGCTTCCTCCTCCGCCGCATACTCAGGCTACAGCCATGCAGGCGCGTGGAGCGGTGCAGACAGCTCGGAGGTCTAAATGAGGCTCGGATTCTCTTCATCTTACAAAGACTGCAGCAGTCTTCCTCAGCGCTGGGCCTTTGATTGGAGCACTGAATGCAGCCCAGAGCAGCTGGCGGATGACAGGCTGCCGGTGCCCGGGGCCCACATGCAGACAAGCTTCCAGCTTTAGCAGTAGTGTCCTGTAGGCCTTGATGAAGACTCCTGAGAATTAGAAAAACATGGAGGCTCGAACCTAAAACACTGAACTCTCTCACCGAACGCCCCGTTGTAAAATATGACATTTATCTGGTGTTTGCAGATGCATGCAGTACAGGAAACAAATTCATTTCCAAATGAAACCTTAACTTTTATCACAATAGTTGTGCCATTAATAACCTTTGATTATTTTTTTTATTGATTATTGAGTAAACCAGACTAAATAATAAACGGATAAATGTGACAGTATGTAATGTAACATCACATGTTAAACATTTTTCTGATTTATCTGTGGGAATATTTCACTGATCTGTTCATAAAAAGGAAAATATTTTGCGTCATGGTAACAAGTTCAAAGCTTCAGGGGGTTTTCTTTCTAGTTTTAGTTTTTCTTTTGATTAACTAACAGTAAAATAAAATTTTGCTAATTATAAAATGTGAGAGTAAACAAAAAAAAAAAACTTTTTAAGAAAACATCTAGCGTCGCTGAGCATTTAAAGACACAAGAGGTTCATTAACGAAGCCGTAGTGGCGCCAAAGTTTGTTAAATGAAATATGTTGTGTTTTTTTTTTAGTATGAAAAAATATATATTTGGAAACTAAAAAAATATTTGAACTTGAAAAGAAAATGTTTAAAAGTTCAGATAATTGTATGTTTTTGTTAGGTACATGGGAATGGAGGTGTTCCCTCCGGCATTTAACCAGTCTGCATTACCGCTTGCCCTACGCTCTACGTGGTTTGGGGCGGCCCTTAATGTGGCGGAGCCTCCGAGGGAACGCACAGACGTAGTATTGCTTGGTAAAGGAGCAGAAACGTTTGGTAGAAATGCTGCAGAATCAGACACCTGCAGTCCAACAGGTCTGTTGGGCAAAACCTCTTTGGAAAAATGGTGGAAATAATTTGATAGAAAAAGCACAAACTGCAGCCTTAAGAGGTTTATGAGGTAAAGGCTAAAAAGGAAAAGGTTTTTTATCGTTTTACGGTCCGAAATCTGTCCTCTATGTTTGACCCATCGCTCAATAAGCGACACAGACGGAGCGTTCTGGGGTTGATTTTGCAGCCTCTCCAGGACACAAACGGCCTGATCTATAAACACTAGATGTTCTACAGAACTGCAGGAAGATGAATGTGGCTCAGTGGAACACAGAATTAGATGCCCATGTGCCAATCAGCAAGGCACTGACCAGTATGAGAAGGTTCATAACCCAAGTCTGTTTTGATGCCATTTGTCTGAGCAGATGGATCCATAATGGATTCCAGAAATGAAATTGTTTTTAAATAAAATAAGGTTATAAGAGGAACCTTTCGTATTTTTTTTCAATCTCTTGGTTTATTTGCTTATTTCCATTGGTCTGTTGGACAATAGCCGCATTTTATTGGTTTAGAGCGAGAGTTTTATTCGGCAGTGAAACACAATTTGAAAAAGAAAAAATTCTTGAAAAAAATGAAATGTAAACAATTTGAAAAAGAAAAAAAAAAACAGAAAAGTTACTTTCAAAACCTTCAAAGTTAATTTCTGGGTTCCATTTTGCCAAATATAAGGTTATAAACTGCAATAATGGAAACTCTGCCCATACATCTGGGTCTGCAGTGACCCCTCCCCTCCAGGGGCAGCAGTTCATGGATAGGAGAGCCTGTATGCCGGAGCTGCTCATCAATTCAGCAGGAATCAGTAGAATTCTAATGATGTCATTTTCAAAATGTTTTGTCAGCTCAAAGCCATGATTCAAAGTAATAAAGACGATTTGAAATAAGATTTTAGATAAATGTTTCAGTTTTATTCTGATGCATTAGGTTCGGATCAAGTCCTCAGCTGCTGATACAGTCTAACCTCATTTCACCAGAAAAATCTAAGTTCTGTTTTTCTTGTTTTTGAGGAGATAAACATTAAAAGAGTCTGAGCCACTGAGTGGAGTTTTGTATAAAAAGGGGGTTTATTGGTGACTCAAAGGGACATTTTATGCTCCAAACGGGACGAAGCAGAAACAGATGATTCTAGAAATGAATAGCCACAAAGGCATAAATACAGTTATCTCAGTTAACTTCTAATATAAAAAAAAAAAAAAAACTAAGGAAGAAAGTCTAACCCAGCACAGCTGAAGTGTTCGGATCAGTGACAACCAGGCAGGCCTGTAGAGGAACACCTAAAGCGACCCAGTTGGTCGGGGGAGGCTGTATGCAGCCTGTGAAACAGACACTGGAACTAATGCCGCTGCCAGACGCAGTCAAAGTAGAACCCTGGATTTCAACACCTGCATCACAATTTTAGCTTTTTCCTGCGTCCTCGGCCGTCAGGGATTCCCTCCGCTTTACGTTTCTGCGCCTGGAGAGAAGGGAGAAGTCGTTAAAGAGGGAGTCAACAAGAAACAAATCAAGATGACCAACAGGAAGTGGAGCTCAGCCTCCGACTCACCGAGCTGCTCTTTGGTCCCCTCTTCTTCTTCTCGGCCTTCTCTCTCTCTTCCAGCTCCATGTTCTCTCTCTCTATCAGCGTGATCAGAGTGTTGCATCGCCTCTGCAGCTCCTTCACACAAACAGGACAGACCGGGAAGCGTCATGCATGCGAACCAGCCTGAGGACTAACAGACGGGACAAACGAAGAGCTGCCTCACCATGGCCGTCCTGGATTTAAGGAACCAGTCGAAGCGGAACTGGGGCGAGTTACGGATGCATTGGCGGAGCTCGTCGTACACGCTCTCCTTGTCGAACCCCAGCTTATGCAGCATACAGATGAGGAAGCGGTCTTCCTCCTCCGTGTAGTTCTTGCCCTTGTTGGTGCCGTAGGAGATCCTCAGCTGGTGGAAGGGAGCCTTGTAGCGGCCGATCTGTCCGGAGGAACATGGCAAAGGTTGGTTGGAATCACCAGGAGGAGAACTAGCAGAGGCTCAGCTGTCAGCGTTTACCTTTGAGTCCAGAGCCTTCTTGATGCTGATCCTTCTCTGGATCCGAGCCTCTCCTCTCTCGATCTGGGCCATGATCTTCTCGATGTCCTGCAGCTCGTTGCAGCGCTCCCAGAAAACGGCTGCAAAACAAAGAACCACCCATTAGGTTGAGCCGAATGCAGAGAGAAACCAGACGCAGGTTGGATTTGTTTCGTACCAGAATACTCCATGACTTCCTCAGGGGTTTTTCCCTCAACTTCTCTGGCAATGTTCTCAATATCATCTCTTCCCCACTTCTCATTGGCTTTGATGAACTGGTTGAAGTCACGTTTGCTCCAAATTGTGAATCCCTGTGAGGAAAAAGCATTGATGAATGCAGCGAAGCTGAAGGACATTTCCCACCACAGGAGCATCAGTTTGTTAGACGATTAAAGGAGTAAAATTAAAGTCTTTCTCACTCAAAACGACTGAAGATCTGGACTGATTCCTGGGGAATTTCTTATAAACAAATAGTAACCGACCAGAAAAACATCCCAAAATGTTCAGCTGGAACTTACTGAATTGTTATATAAAAATGGGAAGAAGGAATAAAGTCTGACAAACTATTGATTTCTATGGTTTATTTTCTTATTTCTGAATTTTTTTTTAACACACAGGGCTGGACAATAATCCAATATCTATGTAGAATCCTGAGGTCATTTTATTCAATAACACATCTCCGTTATTTCGATAAACATCTCAGCCACTGAATAAATGAGCGAAGATGTTCACCAAAAACCAGCAGCCTAAGGCTGCAGCTGGAGGCTAACCCCCAGATTCCACATACTCGGTCAGAGCACCGCTCTGCGGAAGTACTTGTCTGTCATGTTAAACAATGAGAGCTGTTCCATCGCTACTCCTCCGCACGGCACCGTACACGTACGTCTTCTCAGTCCGTCACCGTGAAAATACGGAGCCAAGCTATTTTTTGCCCCACCCTGGTCCAACCAAGTCAAGATCCGCAATCGCACCAAACAGGGAAAAAGAACGGCGGGAAGATCTAGCTTGTCAAATTAAAATATAGTAACGACAGATCGGTAACTAGAAATTATAAAATAATTCTTATGTTTTCCAAAAAAAAAAAACTAACACTGTTTATTTAAATGATTGGATGCAAACTATTGGTTCTTCAACAGACCAGGAAGCAGATTTATCATCTGCAAAATATTTATTTTATACTGAGGGGCTTAAAAGTTTCATTAAATCCAGTCAAAAGAAACTTCTTATTGCAGGAATGGATGAAGAGATGCTGAGTTTGGAAGTAAAGAACAAACAAAGTTCATAATAAGAAAGTTTTGGGTGATCCTAGTTATCCCTGTTACAAAAAGAAAATAGTTGGGAAGAAACTGCACATATGCTGGATGCTGATGGGGATTTTTTTAATACATCGTATTAAATTAAGCATTTATCTCCTCTTTATGTTTTGCTCCTATGGATTAAATAATATCGCACTTGCTCTCCTCAAACTGCGGAGGCTGTAGGCTTTGTGCAGGCAGTCAGGAGCCCAGCGGGGCGGTGACGGATTCCAGTCCCGTAAACACTGGGACATAACTCAATAGTAAAGTAAATTATTCTTATTTCTTATTTCAACCGTTGCGTAGATTAGCTGCAACAAATGATTCAAAATGCTAGGACCAAAAACATTTGACAGATGAGCGTTAATTATATTAGTGGCCAAATTTAGGAGTACAGGCTGACGTATAACTAACTGGCCTGTAAAAAATAACAAAAAAAAACCCCCAAAGGTTTTAGGAAAGGATTTTTTTTATAGAAATTTTCTAACTTTTGGGACAATATGTTCTGATAAAGAGTACATTTATATACATGTTTAGGCCAGATTTGACATTTAAATATGACTTCCCCAAAAAATGACCCGACTCTGTCGGAGCTGCTGTCTGATTACTGGACATCACATACAGTAAAGATGGTGAAGAAACCGTCTGATCAGGGTGAGACTGGTCTGTACCTGCTGCAGCAGATTCTCCTTCTCCTCCAGCTCCTCCTCGGTGAGAGCTTCAGCCTCATCGATCTTGGCCTGCTCTTCTTTTTGGACCTGGGCAGAGTTGGGGACGTCTGGGTTCCGGGGAACCTGAGCCAGAGGACATGGTCAAACTATGAGACAGGGAGACATAAGCCAGCGAACCTATGTTGGACCGTTTTTACCTTGTAGCCTATGGTCTTCCTGTAGAACAGGATCTCTTTCTCCAGAAGCTCAAACAGACGTGGAGGGAAGAACTGGAAGTCTTGAACGTTTGGCTGCTTCGGTGGACGAGGAGCCTTTCAAAGAAGCAAACAAAACTCTCCGTTAGGATCGTAGCCCTCCCTGCTGTGTTTCTGGGTGTCTGTAGTTGTCTGGACCTACCTTTGGTGCTTTGGGCTCACTGACCCGCAGAGCTTCTCTGAAGTACGCATCCACAGCATAGTTGGCTTTCCGCTCTCTTTTGGGAGGCTCGATCCAGTTGGTGATGACCTGAGGTCAGAGATTAAAGCTAAAGTAATCAATTTAACTGAACATTGTCCCATTCAGCCCATAGAATCCCACCGCCGTTCACACCAAGCGTTGCTACGTAAAACGCCTTCTCGTCGCTTCAAGTTTAATACCTTGAATAAAAACTCTAAACTGAAACAAAACAAATTCCAACTAATGAAATCCTCTAATAAAAGCCTGAGGTTCAAACCAGGAAAGCCTGGTACTGCGCAGAATTCTGACCTTCTTCTTCTCTCTGTAGTCCTCTCCTTCAAACGTGTAGACGCTGGTGTTCTCCGTGTCCATGGTGAAGTTCCTCAGGGTGCTCTCGCCCAGAGATGACAGCTTCTCCTTCATCTCCATAGTCTGCCACAGATTAACCACAAAGTTAAAGCTTTATGTTCAATAGGTTGAACCCTTTTATAAATAAAGCCGCTCTGACTCGCCTTTCTTTCACCGCGCTCCAGGATTGCATCAATGTCGTCGTCTGTGATCTCGCTCTCCTTGGAGGCGAACACGTGCGTGGCGCCGTGGCGGATAATCGACAGCATCTCGTCCTTACCCAACTTGTTTGCACTCGGATCCACCAGCCTTCCTGTAAAACATGGACAGCGGTTCTCAGAGCATTTCCTCATTAGGCTGGATCTATTTGCCATTGTTGATCTGCTGACAGGGTAGAGAAGACCCACCCTGCTGGATGACGATGGAGTCTAGCCGTAGCTTCATTTCAGCCCGCTCCACGATCCTCTCTTCCACCGTGTTCTCTGTGATGAAACGATACACACGCACTTGCTTCTGCTGACCAATCCTGTGAGCTCGATCCTGGAAAGAAAACACAATGTCAGCGTTTTCTGTGCCCTTCAGAGTGAAGCCAAGTGATCAGAACCAGAACCGCCTCTCACCATCGCCTGCAGGTCCACCTGGGGGTTCCAGTCCGAGTCGTAGAGGATGACGACGTCGGCTGTGGCCAGGTTGATGCCCAGGCCGCCGGCCCTGGTGCTCAACATGAAAATGAACTTGCTGCTGTTTGGCTCGTTGTACGCGTTGATAGAGACCTGTGGGGGGTATTCAAGAAAAGAAAAGAGTTAAACTCTGGAAGGGTTTTATAGGGATGAAACAAAAAGCAACCAGAATGGTTCTAATCATCCAGAACCAGAAAAAAGCCCGACCCACTTTAATAAAGCCAAGGGTCTGTGTCTAACCTGTCTCTCTTCATGAGGCGTCTGTCCATCCAGACGGCAATACTCGTAGTTCTTCCACATGCAGTAGTCCTCCAGGATGTCCATCATCCGGGTCATCTGGCTGAAGATGAGAACACGGGAACCTGAACCAAGACAGAGAACATTGCCAGCTTTGGATACTCAGAACATTGGAAGCCAAATGGATCATTTCAGACTATAAATGTAATCAAATAAGTGACTTGATTAATTAATCGTTTATTAGATTAGGAACCAGAGATGGATTGAGAGTCCAGTCTGGATTAATTAAATTGTTTAATGGATCTAAGGATCCAGAATGAACTTCTGTGGTTCAATCAGTAAATCTAAACTCTGGATGAGCTCATTCAGTTCTCTATGTTTAGCCACGCTGCTTGGAGGAACACTAAACGTACTAAATTACATTTTATTTTGTATACACTCTGTGTACGCAACACGACTATAAAAGTTGTCTAAGTCTGCTGAGATCAAAAGGAGAGGATGATAGAATGTTTGGAACAGGATAAAAGACACGCTAGCAGTTAGCACGCTAGATGGAGAAGGCTTTATGAGTTAATGACCTTAAAGTAGCAAAGATCCAAGGTATCTGAGATAAACCAGAACCAGCTGTTTATATTAACTAGCAGAGCAAAAAGCACTGATTGATGGATTAGACTAAAAGCAAATAGCTAGATCACATTATCCCGTTTATTGAAACACAGGTTAATAATCTGGCAGTATGTTAAGAGCGACATACCCTGTCTATTATTGATAGTTCTACATCTCTGCTCATTGGAAATTATTAGTTTCAGGTATTTATATATTTTTTTAATCCAGTAACCTGATACGTTCCTGTATTTAATACATCTGGAACAATAGTTTGAATCTAATGATGGACTTTTTTATATAGAGCATATTGAAAAAAAATGTGTTCATGTTAAATGTTCCCTGTATACAAAAGAAAGATTTTTCACAAAATTGCTGCTTCGTTGATCGATAAGCTCAATTAACCTTGGATCTATTTATTAGTTGATAAATTGCATCCCCCAATCAGATCTTTAATAAATGTATTCTGCCATTATCAAGTCACTTTTCCAGGCTTTAAAGCCGCATGAAGGCTTCACTTCTTTAGAACATCTACACACCCTGTTCCTTCATCTTGGGCAGCAGCTTATCCAGAACCACCATTTTCCCTCCGTTCACCACCAGGTGGAGGTCGGTAGTGTAGGGCGGGCCTGGCTCCGCCCCGTCGAACAGGTACGGGTGGTTGCAGCATTTCCTGAGCTGCATGAGAACGTTCAGCAGACGCATCTTGTCCATTTTGCCAGCAGAGTTCAGGATATCGATGTCCTTCATGAGAATCTTTGTGTACCTGTTGATTTAAAATACAGCAGATTTCGCTCAGCATCCAGTTCAGATCAAACCTCCCAAACCGCCCTCAGCTGACGATGCTCACCACTCGCGCTGCATCTTGCTCAGACCCACGTAGATCTTGATCTCTTTCTTGGGAAGCAACGTTTTCTCGACATCTGCTTTGATACGACGAAGCAGGAAGGGACGCAGAACCTGAACAACAGCAGGACATTTAAAGGGGAATGACCCAAAATAAATAATCACAAAACGAGGGTCAGAGCAAACATTTAAGAACCTACAGTGTGAAGACGCTCCACCAGCTTCTGGTCACCCAGGCAGTTGTTTGTGTCAAACCATGAATCAAAATCCTAGAAAGGAAACAAACAGTTGATGATGATCATCAGTCATGATGCATAAACTGGTGTTATGAGACGGAGCAGAAAACGGGATGAAGTAACCACCTCTGATGAGTTGAAGACGTCCGGCAGCAAGAAGTTGAGCAGAGCCCAGAGCTCGTGGAGGTTGTTCTGAAGCGGCGTCCCAGTCAGCAGCAGCCGGTTGGTGGTTTTAAATTCACGCACGATTTCTGACAGCTGAGGGAGAAGCAACAACTCTATGAGCCAACTGTTGCTGTAAAGCTGCAATTTGCCTTCCGTTCAGCAGCTGCTGACCTTCGACTTTTCGTTCTTGATCCTGTGGGCTTCGTCGATGACCAGGTACCTCCAGTTGAACTTCTTGAACACTGCCTTTTCAATGATGAGCATTTCGTAAGACGTGACGCAGACGTCCCACTCTCCTGGCAGCAGCACGTCTCTGATCAGGGCCGTCTGAAGGAAGGACCAGAAAGATAAATTCAGAGCCAGAAGTCGCAAACCCTGAAACCAATAGACCTCGGTGAGCTGTTCAGGCACGGCTTACCCGCTGCTCTCTGTCTCCAATCAGGCAGACTGCGCGCAGAGAGGGCACCCATCGCTTGAACTCGTTCATCCAGTTATAAAGCGTGGACTTAGGCACCAGCACCATGTGAGGACCTGGGATGTTTCTGTAGTGCTTCATGTAACCCAGCAGGGCGATAGTCTGGAGGGTCTTTCCCAGTCCCTGAGAGTGGGTTGGGAGAGCGTGCTGTGAGACAGGAAAACTACACCCACACTAAATTCATTCACACAGGCAAAAGTACCGACCATCTCGTCTGCAAGGATGCCGTTGATTCCATTTTCATACAAAGAAATGAGCCAGTTTAGACCACGGATTTGGTAATCCCTCATTTTCCCCGTTTTCACATCTGAGTGAGATGAAAGAGAGAATTTAAGATGAACAACTCCCCAGAACATCGAAAGAAAAAAAAAAAATAATAGAAACAGGCATGCGCTTACAGGAGGGAGACTCATCGAAGCGAGTGCACACATTGGTGGTCTTCGTGCTCTCGTTGAGCAGCTCTTCATCCTCCTCTTGCTCAGTGCGACGATGTCGGTTGCTGATAAAAGAAACAAATTGTTCAGGTTTTGGAGTTTGAAATTCTTGACCTGTTTTCTTGGTCCAAACACTCACTCTCCCACAGAGAGCAGGTTCTGCTTCTCATCTTTCTTGATCCGGGGTCGGCCCGGTTTCATCTTCAGGGGGGAGGTGGGGGTCTTCTGTGCAGCTGGTTGGATGAAATGTGCAAACAGCTCCGTTTGCTTCAATAGATACTCAAATCTGTTGGTTCGGTCTGTTTGCTGCAAGATACAGAAAGGAAATCTCTTCAATTATTTAATCAGAATCAGAACAATTCCCTGTGCTTGTTCTGCCACCTAAAATAATATTTTTACCACTTTCTCCTCATATCCTGGAGTGGAATCTTTAGTCTTAGACGATGAGGAAGAGGACGCATCTTGTCCATCAGCACCACCCTCTGATGAGGATTCTTTTCCTGCATCTGAAGAGTCTGACTTTTCCTGAAGCAGAAGATGAGAGCAGACCTGATTAGGAATGATGTTCTCACTAATACAGACCATAGAAACTGCCTAGAAGACCAATGAAGAAACTCCTTTTTGGCCGTGCAAACGAAATCTCTTATCTGTATCTGTATTTGCTTAGTAGATGAGTTTGGATGATTATCAGAATACAAGGCGCCAAAAAAAGGCACCATGATGGGGAACTAGAGAGTAAAACCAGCTGGTTCTACACAGCAAGTCACTGACCAGATAACCATACAATAGTTTTACCAGAATAAGAGCTGAAGCCAATAATCTGTTGGTGATTAATCATTGATTAAAGTTATCATCAATATGGACATTTCCTAAAGAAACACCAAATCAGAGCTTCTGTTGGGGTCATTTTCCATTTACAATTCATAAAAATATATTTCTAACTTGCGTTTTAGGACAGACGGACTGACAGACCGATCTGTTTTTGTCATATTGTTCTCTGTCTCATTTCTACAGTTGGTTCTATGGTGCCTTTGTTAACGTGTCCTCTACCAAGAAAAAAAAAAAAATCTGTTCAATCTGACTCACAGTTCAATTAAGAAGTGAGATTTGGATGGATTGTGCGTCCCGTGTCTTTTAAATTAATGTTTTATTTGTACATCTACATGATAAAGTAAGGCCCTGTAGTATAATTTCATAGTCTACTCCAAATTGGGTGTATTTTCTTGGTTTATTCCTATACTTTTTATTACAAAGCAAAGATTTTAACTTGGGCTGAAGCAATTCATCGGATTAATTAATTATATATCGCCTAATTTAGTCATCGATTAATCATTATTAAATGGAGTGTAAAAACTCTAAAATGGGTCTTTAGCTGAAAGAGCAACCAACCCCTTTAGCAGCAATTGTACAACATTGAAAAAGGAAATATATGAACATTTATCTTTTAAGATGATAAAATCTATTTCCCGGAGTTTGCTCGCACTCCCTGTGCATCTTTCCGGGTACTCCAGCTTCCTCCCACAGTCCAAAAACATGACTGTTAGGTTAATTGGCTTCTCTTAAGTCTCCTTAGGTGTGAGTGTGTGATGAATGGATGCTTGTCTCCGTGTTGCCCTGCAATAGACTGGCGACCTGTCCAGGGTGGACCCTGCCTCTCACCCATTGACAGCAGAAGACCCCAGCAGGAATAAGTGTGACAGAAAATGTATGGATGGAATATTAACAGAAAGAGATCCGCTCCCAGCTAGTTTCAGTTAAATTGTTTAAATGACTAAAAAGCACCGAAATGAGTGTTTGTGTTTGATAATCAAACTACAAATTGGGAACTGTTGCTGCATTCATTAAATATTTAATCCTTTATGTCCAAATCTAAGTCTTGAAATAACTGTTTCCTCTCTTCTGCTTCCTTCTGCTCTCCTCATTTCTCCAACTTTCTGTTGAATCTTATAAAACCATCTTCCTCTCCTTTCTTCCCATTGTTTTGCCACCTTTCCTTCATCCTTTGTTTAATGATACTTTTAATTTCTCTTACCTAAATTAATCATCATATCAATGGTTTTATTTTTGATGCTTCCTTAGCAATCTTATCAATCTTATTTAATTTCCATTAATCCCTATGTGTGCTGGCACCCAAATAAATGTAACACTAATACCCATTTGAACTTGATATAAAATTTTCTGTATTTCAATTTAAATGTCTAATCTAGTTTCTGAAAAAAGATTTTGTATACTGAAAAAAGCTAAACTCAATTTAGCATTTAAGATGATAAAATCCATTTCCCGGAGTTTTCTTGCACTCCTTGTGCATTTTTCTGGGTACTCCGGCTTCCTCCCACAGTCCAAAAACATGACTGTTGGGTTAATTGTCTGTTTGTCTCTGCGTTGCCCTGCAATGGACTGGCATCCTGTCCAGGGTGTAGACAGCTGGAGACCCCAGCAGGGTTAAATGTGACAGAAAATGGATGGATGGAATATTAATAGATTAATCGAAAACATAATCAACAGATTAATCGATGTATCGTTAGTTGCAGCCCTAATTTTAACTGTTTTTAGTCATGTCATTTCCAGTAATTTATTATTCATTTATACACCACTGTCTAAATATATATCCTTGTTGTGATTCTTCTCATTAGTGCTTGTTTGTATCCAGCGATAGGAGCTAGTCCACTGAGGATATTTGATTTTTATCTGCACAAGTCAATTAATAAAGATGTTTTTGTTATATTTAACTTGTAGCATTTCGCTTTGTAATCGCGTGAATGCATGACAGGTTTAAAGCGCCGCATAGGTCCATTAGGGAGAACATAGAGTTTACAGCATCAGAAATAACAGTTATCCACAATGAAAACAAAGACGCTGAAAAGACACGAGATCCTCTCCCCGCTAGTTTGAGTTTAATTGTTTAAATGGTTAACAAGCACCGCAATGAGTGCGTGTGTTTGATAATCAAACCACAAACTGGGAACTTATCTTGCTGTAGAAGTTTGTGGGGTGTAAACAGTGCGCATGGGGAGAGATAGCGTCTCTGTGCGGTAAGGTTAGCCTGATCGGCCGCTGTTAGCTAACAATAGGAGAGCTAACTAGCCTGGAGAGCTCACACTAACACAGTGAACGGAGAACACTGAGGCGAATAACTAACTCCAGAGAGATGAGTGTTGGCTTCGCCAACAGCTGTGGTGTGTTTCTATGGCATCTATTAAGCGATGAGAACAGTTTAAACCGTGTTACCTCCGCTCCCACGGCTTCTTCAACTTCAGCTGCCTCTTCCCGCTGCTCAACGCAGTTTTCACTTTCGGACATTTTGGTGGAAATTCCTCTTCGGTTCAAATGTTTAGTTAGCAAGTTGGTCCCCTAAGAGTTTGTTTCTTAGGAAATGCTGCTGTTTTCTTTTACCTTAATGGCCTCAGAGTTAAACTATCCTGTTGTTTATAATGAAAGACGCGCCGGTTGAACAGGCAGCACGCTAGCAAGAATTTCTCGCGCTACAAAGCTACCCGGTAAAATGAGCGCTCTCGCGAGACTTGTTGTGCTGCATTCGGGGACTAATGGAAACGTCAGTGAGATGCGCGTGATGCGTCTTTCCCTTCTTTTTGGTTTTTAATGGCGGCGGCTGACATCTATTATCGCCATTAACTTTGCTGGAGTGTGGACCAGAGCATTTCCCTTTAATCTAAATTCTTATTAATAATCCTGTTTCCTTCAAAAAATTTAAAACTGCTTTATTTATTTTATGATAAATATTTTATGAAGTTTTAATGTCTCTATCATATTTCCTAATTTCTTATTTTAGCCTCTCTCTACTTACTGTATATTTTTCACAATGAATTAATGTAAAGTTTTTTTTTTTGTTGTTTTTTTTTTTTTTTTTTTTTTTTTTTTTTTTTACAGTGTCCTGTCTGGCAAGGTGGCAATAAGAATAATTGTCTTGATGCCAAAAGGAGCCCAACAGATTTTACTAACACAAGTGTAGCGGTATGGCAATTGCCATACTGCTCCACTTGTTTCATGTATATAAATTGCTTTATTATAATTATGCAGGGAGTTTTACAGTTCATATGGACACTGCAATGTAAGTAGAGCAGAAAAACAGAAGAAGAAGAAGGAAAAAGAAAAGAAAAAAAAAAGGACAAAAGATGAAAGAAAGAGGAGACAGGAAGGAGACAATGACAAAACATTTTCAGTCTGCTTCATCACCTGCAATGAGAAGAAAAAAAAGAACAGCACAACCAAAAAACATGGTACGAGATATACAATAAAGCAAACACCTTGAAACTATTGCTAAAGTAATATTATTAAGTCTGACATGTACTCTGTGTTACCTGAAGATATGAATGTGGGGTTTCTGTTTGGAAGTGAATCTCTAAGTACCTGAAGCCTAGCACCTGTAGTTGTTTGTGAGGGTGAACTTGTGCATGTAAAGTTTCAACCATAGAAAAAATGCTCAATAGTGGTTGTGGAGAGCCGGAGAGGCACACCCCCCAGAGCACCGAGTCCAGCGCCGGGAGACCCAAAGCCCCAGTCGCCCAAAGGGACCCCAGAAGCGAAGGCACCAAAGCGGGGCCAGCCCCGGAAATCAGACCCCCACCAAGGGAGGAGGAGAGACAGCCACGAAGAAGCCCCCCAGCCACCGCCATGCCGGCACCCCGGGGAGCCGCGGGGACGAGTCCGCGGGCCCCGCCGGCAGCCGGCCACCCCGAAGTAGGGCCGGGCACCGAACACCAGCCCCCCCACGGCGCCGACCGAAACGTCCCAGCCCCACAGAGCACCGAAACACGCCCCACCCCCCGGCACCAAGCCCCGGCGACTGGCCGCAACACCCACCGCGACCGCACCACCCAGGAAAAACACTCAGGCGGCCCCGCCAGCGGCCGGGGCCCACGCGCATCCGCCGCGAACCGGCCGCGAGCGCCGCGGGACCCCCCCGAAACGCCCCCCCGGGAACAGAGCAGCTCCGCCATGCCTCCAAGAGGGAAAACCCACCCGAATACCCAGCCAGCGCAGCCAACCCCCCCCCAAAAAAAAAAAAGGAGCCCCCACAATGCGACAGCGGACACCAGACACCGACCCGCCCGCAACCGCTCCCCCCCACCGAGGAAGAGAAAAAATAAATAAATAAATAAATACATACAAAATAAATAAATAGGTAAATAAATAAATAAATTAATAAATAAATAAATAATTACAATTAAAATAAATGTGCAAGAGGAGAAGTGCGAGCGGAAAAACCGGAGCCCAAAACAGGACCCAAGACCCGCACCCCACCATGCCGTGCAGCCCCCACGCCCCCCCCCGAACGGATACCACAGAACCGGCATAGGAAAGAAACACCACCCAGGAACCGGCATCGTAGCGAAGGCACCGACCCCGAAAATCCCCGAACAACACCCAGCCCCACCCCGAAGCGGATCCAGTCCCAGGCCCCAGGGATCCGAGGCCCCAAGGGCACCCGATCCCCAGACAGGAGCCCCAGCAAAGCCCCGGCCGGCCGGGGCCAGCGGAGAGGCCGCCAGGAATGAGCCAGCAGTCCCCCGGGCATCCACCCCCAGACCCCGAGCTCCACCAGCGCACCGGTGAGCCCCGACGCCAGCCAGCGGAGGGAGAGCAGGACGGGGGGAATGGGCTCCGCACTTAGCGGAGATTTGAGATGTATTTGGGAGAGGGTGCGGTTGAGACCCCAACCTGGGAGAAAATAAATAAATAAATAAAAAAAAAAATAAAAAAACACACCATCTCACCATCCCTAGTGCCCCCACTCGTACCACAGAAAAAACAGAAAAATAAAAAAATAAAAAATTTGAATAAAATAATAATAATAATAATAAATAAAGAAAATAACAACGCGGACACACATTCACACATAACACTTACATCCAATAATACCAGGACCAAAAACCCGGCGACACCGGTGGTTGGTCCCGGGACTATCGGATGACCCCATAAGTGAACCTAAAATCCGGATGTGAGGGGAGGGGAGCGGCGACACCGTCACACCAACCCATCTCTCTCCTGCTTCAAGCCCGGCCCCCCACCCCGCACACGGACCGGACCACCCCCAGCAAGAGCCCCACCCATCCCACGCCGGCCACCCAACCAGAACCCCCCCCCCCCCCCCCCCCCCCCCCCCCCCGAAAAAAAAAAAAAAAAAACGCTTCAACCAGGCACTTCATGCCCCTCCATCCAACCTTCTTTGGGGAGAGCAGAGGTGACAGCCCCGCCACCCTAGGCCCCGCAGCCAGCCCCAGCCAAAACCACGGACCAGGTGGCCTGCTCTTCCTCCAGGCCCCAGACTCCAGGCGGCAGCCGGAGAACAGGGGTGTGTTTAATGTAAAGTTTTATTTAAACCAGTAACCGTGGCATTACTACTTGTTCTTTCCACTTTAAAGGTGTGAATTTGGTGCATTTCTCTTAGAATCTCACACAATCTAACGATTACAAAAATAATGTGATAAAAAATATTTGCTCCTTCCCACTTTCCTTCTTTCTGGTATTTGTAGGATTTTTTTTTTTTTCTTTCCAAAATCACCTTTGTATACGACAAAAAAGTACAAAAACAGGTTTGTTTCGAACAACAATTTTAAATATTAGATGAACGAAACCGAAATGTCCAAAGATACATTTTCCTGAAAAATGCATTGTTCCATTTCACCGAATGACTGGTTGTGTCACTATTAGCAACAACCATTATATGCAGGTATTTGTTACACCTGGCAGTGAGTCTAGAGAAATCTTAACCAACCTTTGAAGAAAAATTGCAGTTCTCCACATTAGTGGTGATTGCAGATTAAACGGCCTGTTTCAAGTTAATGCCAACACAGCATATTCATTGGATTTAAGTCAGAACTTGGACAAGGTCGCTGTGAAATAGTAGAGAATTATTTCCATCACATTTACAATTTCTGCATAAAACCTGACTTCCCCCCTAAGAATTGGACTTGGAAGGTTTTAATCTTATTTTTTGCATTCCAATCTTTTTTGTTAATTCATCAGTATGTGTTCCTTTTGCTTTTCTTTACAGAGGTTTTTCTGAGAGGAAAGCTATTTAATATATATATAGTATATATATATATATATATATATTTATATATATATATATATATATATATATATATATATATATATATATATATATATAGTATATATAGTATGGTACTAACAGTCTGGATCAAAGTCTTAGTGTACAAGTACAGACTTTTCACACAGAATATATGAGGAGATACAAATCAATACAAAAGTTTACATAAAGACAAAGACAAAAATAAATAAGTTACTAAAGAATATAAGAACTAGAACCATCTATGTCCATGGCTCTGGTCTAAACTCTCCTGGTGTTTTATTTTCTTGTATTTTAATCATGTAAAGCACTTTGCATTGTCTTTGTACTGAATTGTGCTATACAAATAAATGTGCCTTGCCTTGCCTTTGCCTTGGTGAAGGGGGGAGCCTCAAATATCATCCAAGTTAAATCATTTTTGGGGAAAAAATAGCCTGTTTGGTTTTTAGCGAAGTGGAAAATTAACCCAAATTATTTCTCTATTAATTTGTCAATTTTCCAACATTCCTTTCATAAATTAAAATGTAAAAAGACAGGTCATTTATATATATATATATATATATATATATATATATATATATATATATATATATATATATATATATATATATATATATATATATATATATATATATATATATATATATATATAATTCTGGTAATTTCTTTTGGTATGTTTCATTTTTTTCCATTTACATATGCTTTACTGATAGGTAGGCTAACCTTGTTAAGTTGAGTCTTTATTCAGCTTGTTCTCGTATTATTAACTATTTCCTGAACTATTTTAACCAGGTTAGCGCCTTATTCATCATGAGCAAGCTGAGTAACAATAAGAAAATAATAATAAATGGATCTCATGGATTGAACAGATAGCAATGGTCAGTTTTTTTTTTTTACCAACATATTTTTATTGAGTTTTTACACTTCGGAAATACAAGCATGTAGTTATTTGAACAGGTTCTCTTTGTAGTCATTACATGACAAAAATTATTTTACTCAATCCAGAAAAATAAATACAACAACAACAAAAAACAAAACAAAGAACACAGCTTCTCAAAAACTGGGGTATTCACACAGATTACAAATTGGTCAGATATAATTATACACATCTATACAACATGGCACACCACAGGTTCTGGCAAATCAGAACTCAAACAAACCCTCTGTCAAGTCTAAGTCCTTAATAAAATTAAAGAAAGGCCCCCAAATCCTCTCAAAAAGATACCCTTTGGATTTCCTAATATATGTTATTCTTTCTAGCGGCAAATTAGACGCCATCTGTTTTAACCACTGCGTGACACTAGGTCTATTGATATTTTTCCAAGTCAAAGCAATACATTTTTTTGCAGCCAATGAGCTTATATCTATGAAAGTGCATTCTGATTTACTAAAGTTATGTTTCCCAGGGAATAAAGCTAGCAGGAACTTGCTTTAAGATAATTTTTTCAATTA